AAGGTCTTTGCTTCTTTGTTAAGAACTGTGTCTACTATTCAAATTTGTAAAAATGTATACAAAGAAATGAAGAATTTTCCCTATAATCTCATGTATGACTATGATATACTCATCAATATAACCATACTATAAGTCCACTGGCAATGGATATAATAATTTACCTGTGAACAAATTTACCAGAAAAATTGTCTCAGTCAATAAAAAGGAACTCAGAATGGAATAAAACTAGAAGAAATTTTGAATCCCAATTCAGAATCCTTCTTTTAAATGATTTAAGTAGAGTATAAGTCATATAACTAGTGTGGGCGCTGTAGTGCATAGGTCAATTGAGAGGTCTGCATTCCTCATCGGGGTACTTTGAGTTCTAGCTTCCCAGCTTCAGATCCAGCTTACGATTGACATGTAATATGGGAGGCAGTGGGTGATGGCTCAGGGTGTTGTACTCAAGTTCCTGCCAGATGGAATGCCATGGTCCTGGCCTGGGCCTGCCCCATCCCTGACTGCTGTTGGCATTTTGATGGATGAATCAGCAGACTGAAAACTTCTGTCACTCTGCCTTTCCAATAAATAAACACTAACAAATATATCAAGCATATGATCAGGACCGCAGGCTTAAAAAAAAATCACTTTCTCATCTCTGAAGGATAATACCAACTATCTCATGGGATCAATGACTATTATCTTTACATGATTCTTGGACACTGTTTCATAGTAACGACCACACAAAATTAGGTGGATTACACATAACTTCTTTTAGGTGAGTTACTAAGTTACCAAGATCTAATGTCCAGGTATTAGTTAAACACACTAAGATTCAGAGGCTGGTGTGGTGGCAGTCTAACCCTCCACTCCCCAGTGCTGGCATTCCAAATGGGTGTCCGTTTCTGTCCCGGCTGCTCCACTTCCAATCCAGTTCTCTGTTTATGGACTGGAAAAGCAGCAGAGGATGAGCCAAGTCCTTGGGCCCTTGCTCCCATGTGGGAGACCTGAACAAAGCTCCTGGCTTCAGATGGGCTCAACTCTAGCCTATTAGCCCTTTAAGAAGTGAAACAGCACATGGAAGATTCGTCTCCTTTTCTCTTTGTAACTCTGCCTTTCAAAAATAAAAATATTTCCCCAGTAAAATACTCTAATGCAGACTCCCTAAAAGGGCGGCTATTTTATAATAATTAACAGTGGCTAATCTATTTATTTATTTCAAAGCCAGATACACAGAGGAGAGACAGAGAAGATCTTCCATCCAATCATTCACTCCCCAAGTGACCGCAATGCCTGTACTGCACCGATCTGAAACCAGGAACCAGGAACTTCCTCCAGGTCTCCCCCACACAGCATTCATATGGGATCCTGTTGTGTTCAAGGCGAGGACTTGAGTCGTTAGGTCATCCTTAGCCCAACAGTGGCTAATCTTGAGATAGTATTTCAAATATTTCTTTTTTAAGAATTTTTTAATGGAAGAGTTGTAGAGAGCAGGAGAGATAGAGGGGACGTTGAGAGGCTTCCTCTGGATTCATCTTTGACAACTTTAGGACCTTTGGCAAAATCATTTTATTGTTAAGATTTATTTTTATTTGGAAGGTTTTACAGATAAGTGAGACACAAAGAGAGGTCTTCTCTCTGTTGGTTAACTCTCCAGCTGGCTGTAATGGCTGAAGCTGAGCCAATCTGTAGCCAGCACCCAGGAACTGCCTCTAGGTCTCTGACAAGTGTGAAGGGTCCCAAGGACCTGGGACATTCTCTGCTGCTTTCACAGGCCACAAGCAGAGAGCCGGATAGCGAAGTGGAGTAGCCAGGACGGGAATTGGCATCCCTATGGGATGCTGGCATGGGCAGTAGGAGAACTTACGTGGGGACCATGACCTCTTTCATTACTTACCAATTGATCCACTAGAAATTCAAATTACCATCTTGTAAGCCATGGAATAAACCAGGTTATTTCATCATGCTCAAAGAGTAGTCCACAAGGCCAAACTTACCTTCATCATAACACTACTACTTTGAATCTTTTAAAATGTTATAAATGCAATGGATGGCTGAGGTTTCATCCACAGACACTGGTACAAACTCACTGCATTATTTATCACCAACAACCAATAAAGGAAATGCCTCACCTACCTTTTTCCTGCCCTCTAGTTGTCCTTCCCTAATTGTATATGTAAGGAATTAAGATGGGTAAGTTTTTCATTACAGTCTTTTCAACACTGGTATATGGTGACCAAGGTTAAATATTAAAATTATGCTGAGTTTATTTAAGGAATGTGGGAATATTCCAGTTTTCATAGCTTTGGGTAAAGATAAACTCAATTACATTGAATCTGCTTCTTGTAATATTTATAATTGTTGAAAACTGTGTTCTAATCATGTATTTTCTGTGAGCCTTAAAATACTAACATTCCTTAAACTGTTTGAAACAGCTATGATCCTGACATTGCTACCTTTAGAGCCTATGTATATTTTTTTATTTTCACATGGCATAATGCTCTATTAAAATCTTCAAACTTGCAGTCAATGGTTATCCTTTAACATTCTGTAACTTGGGCCCAGCATGGTAGTCCAGTGGCTGAATCCTTACCTTGCATGCGCCAGGATCCCAAATGGATGTCGATTCCTATCCTGGCTGTTCCACTTCCCACCCAGTTCCCTGCCTGTGGCCAGGGAAAGCAGTCAAGGAAGGTCCAAAGCCTGGGGACTCCGTGCTCAATTTGAAGGAAGCTCCTGGCTTCAGATTAAGTTCAGCCACAACCTTTGTGGCCACTTGAGGATTGAATCAGCGGATGGAAGTTCTGTCTCTCCTCTTCGTAAATCTGACTTTCTAATAAAAAACTAAATCTTTAAAAAAACCTCTAATTTAAGAAACTCCTTGGAGTCCCAATTTGTCCATTTTGCCTCCTGAGATGCAAGGAATTTTAATCAAGCCCTTCTCTAAGAAAATTGCTTTGTTAGTTTAATGTAAAATGCATTACTGAAATACTTTTATCTACCTGGTGATTCACGTTTGAATACTGTCAGTCATTTCCTGAATACCTCAACGAGAGAATGATAAATTCAGTACATTATATAAGGCACCCTTTCATTGAATGCTCCCCTCAGTTTTCAAATAGGGTTTACAGTTAATGTAGCTCACATTCCCCGGCTAGGGCTTAGCCCTTTCAAAAAAATCTGCATCTTGCACTAGTAACTATCAGGAAAAATTCAGACTTAACTGTTCTCCCATTTTGTTCTAAACCTCAAAGCATTGTGAAGGTCTCTTTGCTATTATCACTTCTTTGAGAGGACATGTTAGCTTAACCTTCCCTGCCTTTTTCATTCTATTTTTTTAAATAGGTTTAAAGGGAGAGGATGAACAATAGTATTATCATTATCCTGTGAAACAAATTATATCAGGATGCTCAAAATTTTTATGGGAAGACAGAATTGCTTTTTGGCACAAAAATTGAAATTAATGTGAGAATTTTTCATAGATTTTTGAAGATTGTTAAGCATTTTTATCTTGTTCAATTAACATTTACATCATTCCTAAAACTACACCATGACATGAAATATTAAGAAATTTTCTTTATAAAAGTTTACTTCTAATTTTATTCACATGATTTTAAAGAAACAGGGGCGTGGTTAATAAGAACACTTGTAATCCAACAGGGAAAGTGTCACCCCATAGTTGCCAAATAAAAATTCTTCTAGGATAGACAAATAGGTTCTCCACAAAAATCCTGGTATCTATTTTTTTTCTTATTGTTATTAACATTGTATTATGTGATACAGTTTTATAGGCACTGGGGATTCCCCCCACCCCTCGCATACCCCTCCCCCCATGGTGGATTCCTCCACCTTGATGCATAACCACAGTTCAAGTTCAGTTGAGATTCCTTCCTTGCAAGCACATACCTAGCATAAAGTCCAGCGTCTTATTGTCCAGATAAGTTCAGTGGCCTCTTGGGGAGACCTTCTCTGGTCTGAAGATAGGGCTAACAGAGTAAAGTTCCGGTCAGTTAAAAGCCCCAACAAAACCTCAGTATCAATTTTTTAAATTCACTTTCCTTGTGCAGAACAAGCAGAGTCAGAATACAATGACACTGTGAGCCACCCTCTTTTCAATCTTAACTGGAAAATAAAACCACCTAATAGATAACAGTTATGTTAAACTGCTAGGAGCTTTTATTTCCTGGAATGTGGCTAAGTGCATATTTTGTCTTCAAACTACATCATCTGCATAAGGTCGCAATGGACAATCTCCAATATGCTCTCAAACACTAAAACTCCGTAATCCAAAACTTTATCATCTGTACATAGGTCTAATTTTCATTCAGTGTTTGCACAGGCCAATAAACAAGAACATTTTACACTGGATTTTTTTTAAGTAAAAATGACATACACTTCCTATATAGCTTTATAGTAGTGTCCTTTTCCCTGTTTCAAACCTAGAGCAATGCATTTGGCATATTTCCCATCAACAGGACGTGACTCTTGCTGTTCTAATCCACCTTGTTTCCTGTTATTTATGAGGATCTTTTCAGCAGTGAGTTCAGAAGCCCAACACACTTCCCAGCAAATGTTGCTCACAAAACCAAGCAATGGGTAGCTGAGGCTGAACAGTTTCAAAATCTTTCTGGATTGGATTCTGTTTCTCCATCTCTGTACTGTAACTGAATTTTATTCTTTCAAATCAGTTTTTAATCACATGATAAAAAAAGATTCCACTGTGGAGAGAACACCCATACTGAGTCTAGTATGTTTTGTTTGTTTGTTTGTTTATTTATTTCAGGTTTTATAAAAACATCAATCAGATGAACTCAAAGCCCAATGCTCTTGGTAGAAGCAGTCACTGGCTGGCAGCAGGAGCTCCCCTGAGCAACATGACGCTGCACAAATACACAAAATCTCTCTCTCTCAGACAAAGGAATGCAGCATTCAAAAATCTTTGTTGGAAAACTCAAAATAATATAATTTTCATCAGGCTCTACAATAAGCATATGGTAAATAAAAAATACAGACTGACAATAGGCAATTCGATTCTTTTTTATTATTAATTTTTTCTTTTTGAAGAAAGAAGCTTTTTTACAGCACCTGTAAACAAGTCAGTGAAATACTACTTTGAGACTCCTCATTTATGTATGTATTTGTATATGCAAATTTTTGGAATGTTAAATTATCACATCAATTGCATTACATAATAGTTATTGAAGGAGAGTCAAGCTAAAACATGGTAAAACTTTATAGCTGAAATATTCATAGCAGCAACTTTTAAAAGATGATTTTATTAAATCAAGTCATTGCACTTGGTCATTTTATTGCTACAGCAAAAAAAGGCCATTAGATTATAACACTTTTTATTTCTGATTTTAGCTGATTGTCTCATTCTATTCACACACTTCAAGTTTAAATGCAAGCATAAGACGTTTATCAAAAAATCTAGAGAGCATTTGGATTGTTTTATGATCTCTGATAAACAGTATGGAGCATTAAAAGGGAATCCTTGGTCACACAAGGCCCAGTCTCCTTCAGCTCAGATTTAACTGTCAGTTTTACAAAATCCTTACAACTTAATTCTGTAAAAATCTGTGAAGTTCTAAAGAGGCAAGCAATTTGTAGTAAGAAGCTTAATGGTTTCTCTTTCTCTCTCTCATATACATACACCAACACACACTCACACACACACATACACACACGCGCACGTACGTACGTAACATTGAAATACAATTAGGAAATTAGTAGTACATGTCTTAAAGAATAGCAAACCTGAACTATACTTTCACTAAAAGTTTGGCAATGACAGATTCCATGCTATTCATCTTTAAACTGTCATCTATATGTATGTGTGTGTGTGAAATTATTTCTCTCTCACGTGAGGCTATTTTTGTTACATATCATTGTGTGATAGGAGCGTTAGTTAAGTCTAAACATTAATAATGTTGCCACATCAAGAGCAATACTGGTAAACTGCTACAATAAAGGAGTAATTTTCTCCCTTAAAATTGCTTATTTTCCTTTATTATTTTGTTAAGGGCAGAAAAATAGACAATAGTACTTTAGTCACTTTTCTATTTGGTTGAGAGGTATACAAGCAAAAACTTTAAATGTTATTCCAGTACTCAAACAGCCATTTTGATTTTATGTATAACTGAAAAATGACCAACAAAAACTTCAAGAAGCCTGTGACCTGCTGGAACACATCCACCTCACTATTAATGTAGGGAGGGATAACTTAACAGATTTTCCAGAGGGAAAACTGGAGGATGGTTTCTAGGATCAATGTTTTTAAATTTTTACGTGAAGATGAAAAATAAGATCTAATTTACTTAAGAACAAAATCATCATTAAACAGAATGTGAAGCAACAATTTTGTTCAGTAGAAGAGCCCAAAGATGTTAAAGAATTCAAATATGCGTACTCATTGCACAATTAACTTTCTTTAGAAGTACAAATATGAGTTGTAAATCAAACATTAAGTAATCACATATCTGAATTTCTATTTTTTACTCTAGCTCTATTTCAAATAATATGACAAACTTTCATTTGCACAATTTCTGTATTATGAGATTAAAAGCATAAAAGAAAAAAGTATTGGTTTGGTGGTCTAGAATAACCAAAAACTGGAAGCATAACTGGGACTCATCTGCTATCATACAATTTAAAAAGTATTTTTGTGTGAATGAAAACATTTCCAATTTATAGATTTAAGTAAACTCAAATGTATTTTTAGACATGTTATCAATTACATTTAAAGCATTCAACTATTCATAAATGACTGTGAAATCAACTCACTTTTTCTATCAAAACATTTTGACTATGGTGAAGTATATTTGGTTTAAATAAGGGGTAGTGATATGCTTTACGACATGCAGGTTGAATACCCCTTATCTCAAATCTTGTGATTAAGTGTACCAAGTTTTTAGAGTATTTGCATGTACATAATGAGCTATCTTGGAAAAGAGACCTATATCTAAATATGAAATTCATTTACGTTTCAAATATACCCTCCTATATACCGAGCCTTAAGATAATTTAATACAATATTTTGTGTGTATTTTGACTACAAAGCATCACAAAAGATATGTAAAATTTTCTACTTGTGTCATGTTAAGGCTCAAAATTTTTTAGAGTTTGTGTCATTTTCAATTTTGGGCTTTTGGTTTAGGGATGTTCAACCTGTAGTGACACTCTTTCTATAGCTAGCAGGTACACAAATGATAGCCCGTAACAGCTCCTTGAGTTAGTTTGATCTACCATTGTAAAACCTGAGTATTTACATGATGATAGCTTAAAGTATGAAACCTCACATGTATTTCTGAAAAGATTTGGGCTTTGTGTTCCTAATATGAACTTAACTAAAAATCAGAGGAAGGACCACGAAGAATTAATGAATGAGTAATATTTGAGATTGTAAAATAAGCAGAAAAGTACAGCAATAAGGCTGGTGTGTACATATTTCATATGTGCTATAGTTTCTAGGCACAAGTTAAGGGTTAGATTGACATTTTTAGATATTTTAGACTTAATAAATTTAAAATAAAGCTCATATTTCCCTAAATGTTTACAGTCAAAACATTTTACCTAAATTTCTCTTATGAATGCCATAGTGCAAGCAATATAAAACTGTTTTAAAAGTTGAAGAAATATTTTGATCGTTTCATTAGTCATCACTTTAGGCATGGCTGAGTAATCTGGCTTACAGCTAGTAGGCCTACTTCACCACCCCCAGTATCAACAGCACTGCAGACAAACAGGAGCAGCAGTGTGACAGAAGTAAATACATACACACACCCAACAAGTCCATCCCTTAGGCATCATGGAGCAAGTAATGACTACAGTTACTATAAAGCTAATCTGAACCTCTGAAATAGTTTATCTTACAGATTACTTGTAAAGATATTACCATATTCATAGATCTCTTTAAAAACAATACTACAAGTTTCAATAAAAAACTATTGTGAACTTTCTTTCCTTTTTATACAGATTCAGTAGTATTTTCAAGCAAACAGATAAAAAAAAGTTTGCAATCCCAGCACAATAAGAAATAAGGCCTCTTTTTTTATATTGGCAAAACAAAATATATATAAAAAAATTTTACCCTCCCTTACTTTTCTACAGACATTATAGTTCATACACTAACATTTATTATCACAACACCAGCATTTGTTAAGTAAGAAGTCAGTTGAAGTCCACAGTGTTGCTTCTGAATCCCTGTAGCAATCAGAACTTTAGGGTCCACACCACCTCAGGAAGACGGAAGAACTTTCTTCAGCTTTTCTATTTCCACCTAAAATGCAACACATAAATTGATCAATAGACGAAGTCCTTACTTTAGTAAGCTACTATAATCCATGTCATTAAGATTTTGATTTCCACCGAAAAATCCAACTTCTTCTAAGTGCAACAAATATTGTTGAATGAAGAATCATCAAAATGTACAATATAAATTATTAAGACAGGTGACAAGAAAAAAGCACAATGCTAAGAAGCATTTTAAAACAGAAAGGGAACAACGTCTGAAAAAAGGCAAAACACAACTTTCTCTGACATATGCAGCACAAAGAATACAATTGATGACAAAAGTGAGGGGATGAGAAAAAGAAAGATCAGGAAACCAAATAAATTAAGTTAAAATGCCAATCCTTGATAAAGAATGAAGATATAACTAAGTGGGAAACAGAAGCTGGGAATCTAACAGCCTACCCATTAACAGCAGCTTTGTCCCCAGGGAGATACAAAAAGAAAAAAACAATTAACTACAGAGGAAAGGGAATTGTATACACACAACCTAAAAAAGAAGCAGAATCTTAAAAGGCAAATGTTTTATTCACAGAATGTTTTAGGTAGGGTCACACCACCTAAGTTGGTATTCAAAACATATTAATTATATGAATTCCTGGAATATTACAAGGGAGAGAAACATTTTAATTAAATATCTACCAAGTGGGAGGGATTGTCTAATTCTTAGTAGAACCAATCATTCACTTAAACTGAGAAAAAGCACAATAGTTTATGCTGGTTGAAATCTCAGCGCTGAAAATAAATGAATTACCTCTAGGTTACTTCTTAAAGCCTTTTCTTCTTCCAAATCTTTTCTTAGTTTTTCCAGTTCTTTCCTAAAAACAAATAAAGTACTTATTACTGTTAAATTTTTAAATCAAATAATCTACTTGAATAATGTTAATAAGATCCTGGTTGCCCAATTTCTCAGAACATGAGGAAAATATTTTTTTCCTTCTGTTTTATTTTCAAATTTATGATGTAATTCCATGAACTCTGTAATTTCCCTTAAGTACTCCCAAAATCCTACCTCCCAAGTGATTTCCCCCATATTACTACAATAGTATAGCCCATCCATCATAAGCAGTCATAAGTCCGCCATTCTGCTATGTAAGTATATCCTTTCATTGCAGTTACAGACACTGGCAGAGTCCAGCATCCTATTGTCAAGCTATATCCAACAATTTTATTGGGAGTTCATCTTTGGTTTGGAAGTAGAGATGTATACTGCATTGTATCTTCACATTTGGATATGATAGTCTCTATAAAACATTTACTATACATTCCCTTAAATGAGAAGCCAAAACACAAAATCAACAGCACCAATAAAGTTAAAAAACATTTACAGCACCATGGAATTAAATAACATGCTACTGAATACCCAATTTGTTAATGAAGAAATGAAAAGAGAAACAAAAACCCTTCTTGAGTAAAATCATATGACTGTGTGAATTAGTGATGAATTGAATGAGAGAAAAGAAATTATTTTGAAAAAAATAAAAACAAAAATACAAAAACACGTGGTTGCAGCAAAAACAGTATTGAGTTACTGATCTTATAATTTGCATGAAGGTTGCCTATATCAGAGAGAACATTCTTTATTATTATTTTATTTTTATAATCTTTACATAGTTGAGTAGGGCACAAAGGGTCAAGGGCTACAGGAAAGTGGGAAAGATCATTATTTCCACATAGAGAGAACATTCTTAGAATATACATGAATTCATCTGAAAACACAAGACTAGGAATAGCCAAACTTATCCTGAGAATAAAAATCAAACGGGAGGTCTCACAATTCGTGGCCTCAAGACATACTACAGAGCACCAGTCATCAAAACAGTCTGGTATTGGTACAGAAACAGAGAAAATCAATGGAACAGAGTAGAAACACCAGAAGGGAGCCCACACAGATAGGGCCAACTAATCTTTGACAAGAAAATGCAAAACAATCCAGGGAAAAAGCCTGGTCCCTTCAACAAATGCTGTTGGGACAAATGGACAGCAGCCTGTAGAGGGAAGAACCAAGACCCCCACCTGTCACCTTATATAAAAACCTGCTCTAAATGGATCAAAACCTAAATCTGCATCCAGAAACTATCAAACTATTAAAGGAAAACATAGGAAGCACTCTTCCAACATATAGGAATAGGGAAATACTTCCTGGAAAAGACACCAAAAGCAGAGGTAGGTCAAAGCCAAAATAAACAAGTGGGACTACACCACACTAAAAAAGCTTCTGTACAGCAAAGGAGATGACAACAATATGGATACTTTCAGTCTCTGAAAGAAAAGGTTTAATTTATATTGCTAGTGTGTTGCATCTAATTTCTGTAGTATTTAAATGACTAGAAAATCATCTATTAATTTTTATCAGAACTTTTGAAGATAATTTGTAACTCGGTTTTTTCCCTAGAGCATACTTTGGTTTGTGGTATAAAGGGGGCTTCCATTTGAACTTCCTACTTCCAGAAAGTAACCCCTATATTAATGCTTCCTTTTCTGGCTATTCAAAATTCTGAGTTTTTAAAATGTTAAACTTACACCTAGGTTAAGGTCTAATCTTAGATTATCTATCAGATTTTTAATTATCTGCTTTATGACCCAAAGACTGAAATAGTGCTCATATTTTTTATTTAAAAAATTTTTTGACACTGTATAGTTTTTATATAACATTTTGTATTCTTACTACAATTACAGAATCAATTACTCATCTTATTCTGCAACCTTAACATTGGATACATAAAAAGTAGTTACAGTTTTCCAATATGTAAAGGTATAATAGTAGAGCAAAACTGCAGGAAGTCCAAGATAGCACAAGAAAAGCAACAATATATTAATAGCACCTCTGTTATCTGTACACCCTCTAGGAAGTTTCATACCATTTGTTATATTCATTTGCTTCTCTAATTATGCCACATATACAAATATACATTAAAACAATATAATTTCTGGTTCTGGGGTCAAAGTGCTTTGAGAAGTAAGCTAACTATATGTGCAGATTCTTGGGGATTTAGACCTGTCAGCAGGCCCCAAAGTCACCAAGGTGAGGTTACGGTGTTCTTCAGCTATAAGAACCACCAGACAAGCTGGCGAGGAATGCCCGCTTTATTATGCACAACTTGCAGATTTTAAAGGTTAAGGAAGGGGAAGGCAAGAGGGCATCTTTCGGCAGGCCGCTCACCCACCAAAGACACTGTAATTGGTCACAAGACATGTCTATTTCCCTTGACTGCTGGTCACATCAGAGATCATGTAACACCATGTGCATTCCCCTTGACCTTCTAGTCATGTCACAGGTCATGCTCAAGGTGTAGGGCTGGAAGCTGTGCCTCAGGTCATGGGGAGGTAAGCCTAAGCCACGCCTACCAGGTAGTGGCTGGAGACCCAGAAGTGATTGCATACATCAGATAGACATCAGATTCAAAATGTAATACATTTTCCCTAATATTTTCAGATGAATTAAACCAGTCTAGCCATAAGATCTCCGGCCTAAAAATGCACGTACATATGTACTGTTTCTAGAATGAAGTTAATGGAATAAATCTTTCAATTTAAGTTTCTTTATTTTTGACAGAAGAAAAACAAAACATTCCATAAAAGCAGTACTCATAGAAGAAAATAATGCATACTCACCCATGATCCTTTTTCAATGCTTCTACAATGCACAATAATTCCATAATCTGGGCTCTAAGTTCATCCAGGGAATTTTTTTTACCATCCTCTGTTTCTAGCTTAGCTTTGGTTTCTAATGGAGTTAGGAATGCAGCTGTACTTCCTTTAGATGCACTTGAAGGTGTGGAAAGGTACACAGAAGGCTGAAAACAAAGGTTTTTTTTTCTTAAATCATTTTATATTCATGTAATAATATATTTATTTTTGAGATTTCAAGATTTTAAAAATTTGTTTGAAAGGTAATGACAAAAAAAGAAAAGATCTATGTTTCACTACTTCATATCCTATATGGCCTATGCTAATAGTCAGGTCTCCCATGGGTGGTAGTGGCCCAAGTACTTAAGACTATTTTTCACTGCCTTCCCAGGTATCTTAGTAGGAAACTGCATCTGAATTGGGATATTCGGCAGTCAAACCAGCACCCAAAATGGGATGTAGTTTAACCCACTGTACCTCAATGATGGTCTCAGACCAGATAAGATTTTTATAGCAAGAAGATAAACACATGTACATTGGGTATCTCTAACCTAAAAGTGAGCAGTCTCAAAACCTAAAATTTGTTGAACTCACATAATGATTCAAGTGGCAAGTTTCATGTCTATACTTTAGTCAAAATACATACAAATACTGTATAACATTCTCTTCAGGAGATGTACGTAAGATACATTTGAAGCATCAATGATTTTCCATTAGGCATGGAATCTTAACCCAAGATACTTCATTACACACATGCAAATATTCCAAAATTCAAAAACTACAGTCTAAAACAATTCTTAACCCTAGCATTTCAGGTAAGAAATATTCAATATTTACTTCAGGATAAATTACAAGCTTGGAAATTCAAACAGCAAATTTGATGCTCCTAACTGGAAAAACCCTGTATAATCATTAGGGTTTGGTTAAGTGAAGCCAATGGTTTTATCAATAACAAAAATTAAAATGGGGGGTAGGAAAAATAACAGCCCATCAAATTTATCTTAAGCATGGTCTGCTAGTGAAACATTCAGATGCAAAAACATATCATTATTATTAAAGCTATTTTAATTTCCACATTGAGTTTCATTGTTTAGAACTACAATGTGATTACAGGACCCAACATGGTAGCCTAGTGGCTAAAGTCCTTGCCTTACATGTGCTGGGATCCTATATGGGCGCTGATTTGTATCCTGGCTGCTCCTCTTCCCATCCAGCTCCCTGCTTGTGGCCTGAGAAAGCAGTTAAGGATGGCCCAATGCCTTGGGACCCTGCACCAACATGGAAGACCTGGAAGAGGCTCCAGGCTTCTGGCCTCCGGCTTTGAATTGGCTCAGCTCTGGCTATTCTGGCCACCTGGGGAATAAACCAGCAGATGGAAGATTTTTCTTATCTGTCTCTCCTCCTCTCTATAAATCTGACTTTTCAATAAAAAAAATAAATCTTTAAAAAAATGATTGTGAAGAAACTGGTAGTTCATGGAAGGGGCATTTAAATTAAGTTCAGGGTTAGGTATTGGCCTTGTGGTAAAGATGCCTCAATCTTTGTAGCAGCCCAAGTTCAGCTGTAGCTTTACTCCCAATTCCAGTTTCCAACAAGCTTCCAGTGAGAAGCTTGAAGGCTGAGTGTTTGCCATCAAATGGGAGACCCCTGGCTACTGCTGGCAACTGGGGAGTATACGCGATCTGACTTTGAACACTCTAACTCTCTACCTCTGTGTTTTTCCTCTCTCAAACCAACTTTTTTCCCTCAAACTCACAGGGAAAAAAAAGTCTAGAGCTTGGCAGCCCTTTCTACTAAAATAATAGTAAGCCAGTCGTAATAAAATTTCAACAGACTGCAGAGAGCTCAGATTATCCAAAAGCAAGTGTATCTGATTAAGTGCCAAAGCAGCCAATGCCTGGAATGAAATTTAGAAATAATTTAGGAGGACATACAACCTTTTAAATATGTGTTCTAATTGTGGAAAGCCTATCTTGAAAATGACAAAAGTTTGGAAAAGACACTTATCAGCGTATAACTGATGGGTAGATTGATGCATTCTGCCATTCATTCCAGTTTATATTAGTGCTTAACTAGGATGTCACATACCAAGCTGTGACAGTTTAAAACTTTTAAAAATCTATGCAAGTGTGTTTTAAATTCAAGAACTCAATTGCTTATCAAATTATTAGATTTCTTAGTAATAGAAATAATACTTCTCAATACATAACTTAATACTCAGAATTGTGATGTTCACAAATAAAAAATCAATAAGACTCACCTTTGAAGAGTAGGATGTGTCCTTTTTCAACTCAGATGGCTTTAGATTGGCACTGTCTTCTTCCTTTGGTAACTTCAAATTTTTCTCAGGGCTTTGAGTTGGCTAAATGATTTTTTAAATTTCAAAGGACAGAACATATTGAAGAAGGGAAATTAGCATGCATTTAGTTAATTAAAAAGTGACTTTTAGCACTCTGCTTTTAGCAGCTACAATTCCTGATTCTCCATTAATGTATAACTGGATGCTACATAATTTCAAGCTACATAACAAATCTGCATATTTTGAGGGTAAAATAACTTGCCTCTTAAGTTATTTTTTTTTCACTTAAGTATTTTAAAAGTATCACAGTGTTGAAGAACTGATATATTAATACAAAACACAAGTTACACATTTAGATATACATGGAACACTGCAGAGTATTCTGAGGGAAAATACTTTCCCCATTCTTTCTTATAGTATCTACTATGCAGTTGGAATCATAATGGCTGCACAGGTAGACTTAACAGGTTTTCTGATCCTCCGTGGTTACAGTCTCATGACAGTTTCTTCTGATTCTAAAAGCTTCTACTCTAGGTTCAGGAAATGAGTATACTCCCTTTCTCCCTGCCTTTCTTAAATTTGCTACTTTTAATATCCACATTCCAGACTTTTAAACTTAGGTCAGGATATAAATTCTCTCATTTTTTATCTTCAAATGGACTGAAGATAAAACAACTCAGGTTTAAATCCTGCTATCTTTGCCCCAATAACTCACAGAATGTCCACCATTGAAGCGTCCAGGCAACCTTCTTCCAGGCATCTTAGGTCTATTTGCAGTGAGATGTAGCAAGCTTTCTGAAGAAGCTATGTCATCAAAATTTATAAGATCTAGAGAATAAAAATAGACATTATCTACTGCATCTTTTAAAAGACAAAAAATAATGGCTTTGGTTTTGAAATATATATGAATAAAAAACAGTACCACTACCGAAGGGCTTACAAGTTGACCTGTGCTTTTCATATGCATTTGGAAAACAACACTCACCCTTAAAATAAAACCATTTTATAGGATTTTATCAACAATGTAAGGGTTATAGTCTTAATATTTAGAGTTCACCAAGAAATCCTTACTGATAAATCTGTGCCACAAATTGTTAACATAAAAAAAGTATCATCCTAAGATTTTTTTATATAAAAAGTAATCCATTTTTAAGCTTATCACTAATTACAACAGAGAACACTGACATATAAAATTTGTTTTAAACTCTATTACATTAAAATTCAAAATTTAAGGATTCAACTGTATCTGGCATCCTGCTACTTTCCATTTAGATCTATCAATGTAAAGAGAAGGCATGCTTTAGTATGTTTTTATTCATTTACATATGAACAGTATGTTATAGATGAGAAGAGTTCACGGCACCTATGCTCAGACAGTACTATTTTTAGGAATCAGAAGGTAGTTATAAATTTAAGGAAAGTCAGATACCAAGGTAAAATTTCATATAGATTGCCAATCTGATTTTCCACCATCAAAAGCTGGCTGATCTTTGACCTAGTAATTTGAGTTGGAGGACAAATCCCTGGCCTTCATCTAGAAGAAACCAGAAAGATCTGCGGGGTATCAATTGTAGTACAATGATTAAATCACTGCTCCAGAGGCCTTTATTCCAATATTGATTTGACTCCTAGCTGCTCTTCTTCCAATCCAGCTCTCTACCAGTGCTCCTGGGAGACATGGCAAGATTCAGTTGAAGTTCCTGGCTCCTGCCTTTGGTCTGGTCATTTAAGAAGTGAACCAGCAAATGAAGTTGCTTTCACAACTGTGATACGAGGATGAGAAATATTAAGGGTTGTCAATACAACTTTCCTTTAGCCCAGATTTTAAGCTAATATTAACAGCCGCGAACATTTTCTGTATGGTGGCAATTATCCTAATTCTTCTAGCTTTGGATTGTGCTTCAAACAACCAAATGTCTAGATTTTTAACACTTTCTGTCAGATATTTAAATTTCCCAAATTAGTAATTTGTTATTTCTTTTAAAAAGAACTAAAGATATTCATCATTACCTATTCATCAATTTTCACAGAATTTAGATCATTTCTAAAGGATGTAGAACACAAAATAAAGCATGAAAAGGATGCATAAACATTCTGCAACATGCATTATATAATAATTGAAAATATTTGTTGAATACTTCTACTTTTTATCATAGATTATTCTGTGTGTTCAATTTTCGATCAAGTCACTAAGCTAACAGTTTTATATAATAACAGACACTCTGATATACTCAATTTTTTAGTTTCTTAATTTTTTAGCATGTTAATTAATTGTAAAATTACAAAGCACAAGAAACAAGTGATTAAAATGGAAGATGCATTATATTATCTGAAAGGACCTGAATTTAGGCATGTACTTTAATAATAGCATATTTGCAAATATCATAAACAAATAATTAGCAATTAAATAATACATTTAAAAGGTGTTGTCATTTGAAGGATTAAAAATATTTTGTAAACAGATAAATGGAACTGATAACCCGCCAAAACATTTAGAAAGTAAAATCTAATCATTTTGGCCCATAAAGATTATTTTCAAATGCATATTTAAGCAAGGGGAAGAAAGAAAAAGAAACAAATGGAAAAACACAGGAAAAAAAATCAAATTGAAAGGGTAAAGAAAATGAAAGTCTAAAAATCATACACCATGCTGATGTAAAATGCCTTTTGTATACCCCATTTTGGGCTACAACACCAAGACAAAAAAATAAATTTTGCCATTCTAAAACTCTCTCAGGTTCTCCATTTAAGCCATAATTAGTAAAATGGAAAAGTGCACATTTTGGATTCATGATGTACATAAATGCTTTTGAATTTACCTAAGAATGATAACAATGAAAAGGAATGACAACCACTGACTCCAGAAATTGTATTTGTTAATCTGCCAGTCTACAAGCTGTTACAATTCATGAAATTTTTAACTAAAATATCCAATATTGGGAAAAAAAATATTGTTTATGGTTGTCAACTAAAACACACATCAAAAGATTATTATTTTAATTAACCAGGAAGAATGTTTTAATAAATTTCATTTAACTTTAAAATGGAAAACCAAAAGGGTTAGAATAAATAGACAGACAAACATATACACTTTCAGTAAAATTACAAAGAAAAAAATCAATGTGCACTACCTATTTATACTGAATATATCATCTTGATTTCTTTTATAAATTGTTATCTTACCAAAATGGAGAAGGGTAGGATAATTTCCTGACACGTAAGAAGGGAAACATGGCAAACAGGCTAGGAAACAAAATCTGGAAAGAAAAGGCAAGGATAGGAATGTCTAGAAAAAAGACTAAATAAAAAAAAATCATTTTACAAAGCAGGAAAAAAGAATAGTAGAACGAACAGAACCATTTCAATGTTAAGCATTTACTGATTGTAGGTTATCTCATTTTACCTAAGATGTGTACAACATCTTAGCTTTATTTCATTGTTTCAAAAGGAAAAATTAAGATTAGCAGCAACTTCAATATAAATTAACTAAAAAGCAGCTTTGTTTCACCATTTACTGAACATGAAGACAGATTCAAAAGAATAGTTTACTGCTCCAAGATGTTCAGTATGTTAACATCTTATAATGTATTATAACTAAAATTAAACCACCTTTTTTGTCAATTCTTAAGCCCTTAAGTGTAATTAGTACAATGAGGAAGTCTAAATCTTAATGAGAAAAAAATCCAAATATTATTTTAAAATCTAAACCAATACACCTCTTAAAATATTCCATACAAATATAAACAAAAAAGAAAAACCACTAACACTTTATATTATATCCTGTTTAATACAGAATGATCAAAGAAACTTGATGGCAAACCATATTTGTTTAACTCATGCTTTAGATGTAGGCTCATTCTATAGATTTACTACTATATGCATAGACACTTTCTAAATTTAAATTTTAGCATAAATTCTTTCTGGAATAAGTGGGTAAATACTGGGAAAGAAACTCATTGAAAAGCAGAACAGTTACTGAAACTGAAGGAAGACAAAGTCACCTTGGTCAGCAGTAAGTGGTTTATAGTACATGTATTTCAAAATCTCCTTTAAATTTCAAAAAAAAAAAAAAAAAGAAAGAAAGAAAAGAAAAAAAGAAATAAAATGAGAAGAAAAAAATACTAAACCCTAGGGACACTGCCTTGTCTGGATTCCCTCAATATTAATGCCTGAGTTACGACTAAACTGTATCTCCCATTTTAAACCTAAGAATAATTTTAGAGGTCAGAATGTAACACAATAGGTTAAGCTGTCATCTGCAAGGATAGGCTCCCATATAAATGACAGTGTGGGTCCCAATTGTTCCACTTCTAATCCAGCTCCCTGCTAATGTGTTTGGGAAAGCAGAGTAAGATGGTTCAAGTAGCTGTGCTGCCTTTGTCACAAACGGGAAATTTAGCTGGAATTCTGAGCTCTCGCCTTGGCCTCGCCCAGCTGTATTAGTTACTTAGGACTGAACTAATGGATGAAGATTGAGCACGTGTTCTCTCTCTTTTTCAAATGTATAAATACAGAAGAAAAAAACCAATTTTATTCCTCAAAAATAAACTATTTTATAGTATTTGGATCAATGAAACTACATAATTAATTGCTAGCAACAGCTTTTCCTTGAATCAACTTTACATGAAATATTTGAAAAAAAGAATTTAAACATAATCCCAGTGAGTTCTATAGCCTGTAACATTACACTTTATCATCTAAATAAATTTACAAGAGAAACTCAAGTTGCTTATTGATATTAGAAAGAAAAAATAAAACCTAACTGAAGGTTCCACAACTATGCATTTCTTATGTGTGTAAAACTGACATATATCTATATTCATAAACACACACACATCTGTGGTTATACACTATCTGCTAACAGTCAGGAATTTGTATCTTCTGAGACTATAGTATAATACAGTAAGGAAAATTTAACAGTGGAGGAGAGAGGGAAAAAGAAGAATGGTATTTATATACTTTCTACACTAGATAAGTCTTGTAGACATAGTAGATACACAATCATAAAATGCCTACTTTTTAAAAAAGGGTCAAAAACCTGCCTGTGACCAATTAGCAAATAAACAAAACAAAATAATATGTATTTATTTATTAGCTTTGAATAGAAAGGTCAATGCACTTCTTTTTAAAGAAATTTATTTAGAGAGAAGCAGAGACAGAGAGAAAGAACTAGAACTTCCATCAGATGTTCACTTTCCAAATGGCTGCAACAGCCTGAGGTGAGCTGATCTAAAGCCACGAACCAGAAGCATACTCTTGGTCTCCCACATGGACACAGAGTACCAAGGGCCGGATGGGCTGGATTGGGCAGGCCCACCTGCCACTCTCATTGGGCAGTGGATGGGATTGGGGAGAGATGCGACCTTGGGCCTGGGGGTTTAAACTTCCAGCAGCCTAGCTGCTGCTAGTGAGCTTCAGAACAGGGCGGCAGCTAGTGGGCCTCAGGACAGGGCGTCTTGCTCAGATCCCAACTCCAGCCACTAGGAACACCACCTCTTGGCCTCCCAGTAGGGAGCTCTGGGGTTTTGGTTCTTTGAATCGCTGCTTAGGTAGTTCCAGTTTGAACCCACAGTGCTTTTGGGGTATGAATCAATCATAAAGATTCCCGGGCCCAGCGGCGTGGCCTAGCGGCTAAGGTCCTCACCTGGAACGCACCAGGATCCCATATGGGCGCCTGCTTTAATCCCAGCAGCTCCAATCCCATCCAGCTCCCTGCTTGTGGCCTGGGAAAGCAGTCGAGGACGGTCCAAGGCTTTGGGACCTGGCACCCGCATGGGATACCCAGAAGAGGTTCCTGGATCCTGGCTTTGGATCGGCATAGCACTAGCCGTTGCGCTCACTTGGACGGATGATCTTCCTCTCTTTCTCTCCTCCTCTCTGTATATCTGACTTTGTAATAAAAAACAAATAAATCTTAAAAAAAAAAAATCATAAAGATTTCCAATGACAGTAATTTCTTCCTCTGAAGAACTTGTAATTACTTAACAATGCTGAGTACTGAACACCAGTTCATGCAAAAGCTAAGGCTCGGGGCGTGTCCAGCAGGAAAACCTGACATGATGATGGATCAGCAGATGAGTCACATTAAGCAGGGCCATGACATTAACTAGCGCTTGAGAGCCATATCCAGGGGTAGATTCTCTGGGGGATGTGTGGGCCAAACTCTGTGGAAATTCGAACCCCTCACTGGTTAGCTTAAGAGATGGGGTGGTGATGGACTAAGCAAGGTGTGACCAAGCAGCTTGCCATCAATCACAGGTAAAGGAACCCACAACAGCCTGGACTGGTCAGGGCAGCAGCACACCCGAATGTGCATCCTGAATAGGTTGTAGAGTGGGCCGGGCTGGAACATTCACCAGCTCATACAAGGCCAAATGGAAGGCCAGACTGCGCCAGGACCTGGCCTAAACCCAATGGCATGTATGAGAACTGGATCAAATGGAGGAACTTGGGAAACTCCTTGGCGAGTCACAGCTCCTGCTGGTGAACATGTAGTCCAGACCTGGGGGTCAGACAAGCTGGGCAAAGTAGCTCCAACAGCTGGCTAATGTGTCAATTGGTAATGGAACGGGATGTACTGGCAGGATTGAGTAAATCTTAGCCTACATGCAAAACCAAAACCCAGCAGGGAACAGAGGTCATGCCGAGCTAGGCTCTTGCACCTACTGGTCTGCATGAACCAGGAACGCTAAACCAGTGTCTAAGACAGAGTCCAGGACACGTGAGGGACTGAGCCAAGCTGAGTCAGAGCAACCACTGGCATGCGCATCATCTATGGCAGGGAACAGGCTCGGTTGAGGAGCTAAGGGGACAGCACTAGCTGGGTTGAGGTTCCCACAAAGGGGCATGTGGGCTGGAACGGGGCTGTGTTCTGAACAGGAAACAGCTATAGTCTCCCTTGGCACAAATGTGGACTGGGATTGGATACACTGAGCCAGGCCAGACTCCAACACCCTCTGGTGTCCTGGAGGACCAGGATAGATCTGTGATGGACTAGGCAAGTTCTCAACCCCTACTGAGTCATGTGTGAGCCACATGTGGGTATGAACGAGCCGTGGCTGGGTTGAAACATCCAGCAGCAATAACCAGCTTTGGCTGAAGGCCAGTCAGGAAAAGCCACTGTTCCTACTAGGACAGAAGGTGAACTGAGGAGGGCTGGCTCATGGACCCCCTGGTATGCATAAAATCTGGCATTGGGAGGGGTTCTGATGGAGGAGCCTGGGCAACTCCTCTGGCAGGACATAGACCCGGCAGGTAAGCGAAGTATGATAGGAAACAGCCCAGAACAGACCATGGAAAGTTTTCCACTGGCATACATTTGGCATGGGTTGGGGCAGACCAGGCTGAATCAGTTCACGTCATCCACTGGCAAATCCAGGCACCAGAAAAGAGTGTGGGTCGGACCATGTTTGGTTGCAACAAAAACCAGTGCAAAATACAGAATGCCAAGGTGAGGTTGCCTGTACCGGATGTGACCGCAGCGCCCATCCAGCACGCCTGAGAACAAGGAAGGGATGGGGCAGAGCCGGCAGGGGGAATAAGGGGTGGTTCCTTTGCTGGACAGCTACTCCCACTGGAGTGCGTGAGCTGGGATGGGAGCAGACCAGACTAAGCAGGGCTACAACACTTGTGGGCTTCATGTGGACCGGATCAGGGAAAAGCCAGGCTGGGCTGATTATTCCTACTGGTGCAAACAAAATTAGAGTGGGTGAGGGTTGTTTGGGCTTAGCCACAGCATTAGCTGGCAGAAGCTGGCACTGGGGGCTAATTCTGTCAAGTCAAACCACAGAACCATCTGGGGGTGACAGAGACCTGGGAGGGAAATACTGGGCTCCTCCCTCTTGGGTTACCACACCATGGGAGGGCTCAAAAAGTAGGACAGGGCCTGGAGTGGCTAGACAGAGAGGCACTCAACAACATCCATGAAGGCTGAATAGTTGAGCTGGTTAGATGGAACCAAGCTTCAATACCCATCGACATATACGAGAGCCTGTGGGACAGACTAGACTAGTCTGCTACACATACTGGCAAACCAGGGTAGATGCAGGCCTGGTGGGAGTTACTGTGGATCACTATGACTGAGCTGCAGCTCCCCCTGGTTTATGCGAGGGCCGAGTATGTGCTGGGTAGAACCAGGCTGGACTGCAACATCCACTGGTTCAAGTGGAAGTCGGGACTGAAAACAGAACCAACCGGCAATTGCAACCACCAGCTGATCGGAGCCATGGACTGTGCTGGACCCTGTACTTGCTAGTACATACAAAAATCAGGTCTGGGAACACCTCAGACAAAGTTTCTTTGGAGATTTCCCCAATCAAAATGCTGGACTCAGAACCCTAACCAAGAAAAGAGAGAAGACAGAACAGGTCAATCAACCGTCTCAGCTCTACCTTGGCAGTGAAATACGGGGCAAATGTAGACTCTATGATGGACTATGTCAGTCAGTGGAACGACTTCATTGTGCTTAGAGTGGAGAGATTGGCAGCAATTCATAACTGGTGAACTATCGAAACCACTGGAGCAAGAACCTCAGAGCATGCCCCACATCCGGGACCTGGGGTGGGTGGGAAACTGGGTGGGGCTTCTCCCTCAATATCCTCCTTTACCTCAGATACATGAAGGAAACAATATGGAAATAATAGTCTTACCCACTTTCCTCTAGCCCTTGAACCTTTTTACCCTATTTAACTATGCAAAGATTGTCAAAAATATAATAAAAAATGAAAAAAAAGCCAAAAAAATATTTACTGCTTCACATGAACCGAATTCCCCAAACTAACATTTTCTGAACTTTATTAAAAGTATGTATAGTATATTAAAATAGCCTAATTAAGTAGAGAAAAAAATGGAAATTTGGAAGTTAGCTGTTTGTTTTCTGATGTGCATTAGCTAAGTCTTAGTTTCACTAGATTTTCTTAAAGAAAACAATAAGACAAAAATTAAAGTTGTCAAAATCTTTTCTAGAAAACTACTTCATTATCTAAATGAAGACAAAATACAATATGGGAGCTCAAAAAAATCAGTAAGATTTCAATCTCCAATAGTTAGAAATTACTGTATGTATTACTTTTTACCAGAAACAAAATCAACTTGTTAGTGACTGCATATAGAAAAATTTGAAAGGCCAATCTTCACCAGAAGAAACATACTGAATATATTTTGGTGAATTTCTTAATTGCCTGAAATCAATACTGAATATTGTTTCACCATAGCAAGCAATCTCCAAATACATAACCAAAGCAAACCAAAAAACTATAAGATATTTTAATTAAGACTGAAAATAAATCTTATTTAAGATACAGCGTTAGCACTGGTAAGCTTAAAAAAGAAAAGATCATCAAAAAAACAAGGTATGCAAAAATATATTTTAAATTATTGCAAACAAGAAAAGGTTCATGTTACAAGTCTTAAGGTTTAATGCTAACAATAAAGCTAAAATATGTAATGACATTCTTAAAAGATTATTACAGAAGGCTTATTTTAAGGGAAAATTTAATTATTAAAAAATTTACATGCTTGTATATATTTCCTGAGTCTACAGCCGAATAGGGCTAGTGTAAAATAGAGGAAAATAGTATTTACTTCCTAGAATTACTGTAAAAATAAAATAACATGAGAAAATTTCATTAAAAAATAAATATAAACCACTATACAAAATGCAACCAAAATATTGCCCACATAGTACTGTTAATACTGAGACCACACTGACTTTTATGTGTTAACAGTTTACAGTTAGGACAATATAAAAGTCTAGGAAGAAGTATAGACAAAGATGATCAATAGGCTGAAAAATCCTAAGCTGAAGAGGAAACATTTAGTAGGAAAAAAATGTCACTTAGCGAGACAGTCGTAAAAGTTGTATTTATTTGTACTAGAAACAAAAGCATATTCAGATGAATACAGTAAATTTTTAAGTCTTATTAAATACAGTTTTGTAGTGGCACTAGTGGTCTCTGTTATCTTAAATCTTCAAAACAAAAATGTATTCATATCTCCCTGTTTCAGATGGTTAAGTTGATTGCACTGATAAGGGTCAGAATAACAGACGAACAATCTTTAACTGCTTCAATATGAACACTATCCCATTTTGATTAGTAACAAACTTCTGACCAGCATGAATGACAAAGACTTTGTCCATTTCATATTTTTAAGTTCATTTTTTTTAACTTTGGCTACTAAAATTTTAAATAATTTTGGGCTAATTTCACCTAACCCTAAAATAGCACACACACAATCTTATATTACATAGTTTCTAAAACTACGTATTTCTTTGTAACGCATCAACTTGGTTAATGTTGACTTACCTGGTTCTCTAGGGCTTCTTATTGTAAGTGAATCAAAGTCTACTGATTTTGGTCTAGGTGGCAACTGTTCAAATTCTAACTTTGGTTTTAATACTAGCTCAGTTTCAAATTTTGATGAAATGGTAGAAACTTCCCCATTAATCCTGAAAAGAGATTAATAAACATGTAAACAAAGAGAAAAATAAACATGTAAAATCACTTGCATGTGGATATGCCTATTTAAAACAAAATTGTGATTAAATAACATTAAAAAATTCAAAGGAGTAATACTAATGTTCTATAAATTGATCTCCATACATACAAACTTCTACCCTAGACTGATCACAATAAAATCACAAATGTAGAAACTTTCATAACTATATTCGTATATTCTGAACAGAAGACATATTTAAGAGAAATATAATATAGAGAACATATGGAAAACATGTTCTTGAAAAATGCTTTCATATTTTAAAAGTGATAGCTGCATTTTGGTCAAAGCTGAGTAAACCAATAAAGAATTTCAGAATAGGGAAAACCTTACTTGGTTAAGGGATGCGGTGGCAGAATTGGTTTTTCTGGTCGCTTTGGATGCACTGATCCAGAAGATCTCAACAAATTATTGGCTTTGGTAGGTGGAGTAGGCTTCTTGGGTGGAACTTGTGGAGCAGCTGGTTTAGAAGGTTTCTGTTCCAGCACTGATTTTTCATCTGATGATTCAAAAATATTTAACACGTGAAAAAGGATTTGGTCTACCCATTAAGATATCAGTTAAGGGCCTGGTGTGATAGCGTAATGGTGAAGGTCCTTGTCTTGAACGCACCAGGATCCCATATGGGCACCAGTTCTAATCCTGGCAGCTCCACTTCCCATTCAGCCCCCTGGTTGTGGCCTGGGAAAGCAGTTGAGGACGGCCCACGGCTTTGGGACCCTGCATCTATGTGGGAGACCCAGAAAGAAGTTCCTGGCTTCTGGCTTTGGATTGGCGCAGCACCAGCCGTTGTGGCCACTTGGGGAGTGAATCATTAGACGGAGGTCCTTCCTCTCTGTCTCTCCTCCTCTCTGTACATCTGCCTTTCCAATAAAATAAATAAATCATTTAAAAAAAAGATACCAGTTAAGATACCCACATCCTGTATCTGAATGACGGTTTGACACTCAGCTCAGGTTACCTCCATGCAGACCCTGGCAGGTAGTGTCACCACTCCATGACTGGATTCCTGGCCCCCACATGGAGACCTAGACTGAAAACCTCGCTCCTGGCTCTAGCCCATGCCATTGTGGTCCTATCACTCAGGAGATGGGAGCTCTGTCCATACAAAGATACACATACACATATAAACTTAAGGCTCCCTATCATTCAAAGTTAATGTCAGGCTAGAAAAGTATGAAATGAGACAGAAATAACTTGCACTGCAAATTTACATGATGAATAAATGCAATGAGATTAAAGAATACATAGCGTTTCTACAAATTGGAGCAAGAAAGTTATTTAATGTGGTTTTAAAATATATTTTTGTTGTTGTTACTGTTCTAAGATTTACTTATTTGAAAGGCAAAGTTACAGAAAGATGGGTGAAAAGATACAAAAAGAAGAGATCTTCCTTCTGCAGGTTTACTCCCCAAATGGTCACAAAGCCTGCATTTAGGTGGACTCATTGCCAGGAGCCAGAAGAAACTTCTGGCTCTCCCACATGGTATTGGAGCCCAAGCACTTGACCCATTTTCCACTACTTTCCCACGTGCATTAGAAAGGAGCTGGGTTGCAGGTGAGCGGCTGGGACTTGAACCATCACAAGGCAGTTTTACTCACTACACCCACAGTCCTAGTCAGTTCTCTTATATGCTATTTGAAATGACTATGATTAATGCCACATCCTACAGAAGTACTGTTTTCATTTTTTTAATGGCTATAAACTGGTATGGTTTGAGTAAAATCTCAATTGCCTATCAATTTGATAAATTATTTACTACCAGGAAATTCCAAATATCATAAAATAAAATGTCTGCCAAAATTCAAGTGTAAATGACTGATTTCAAAGAAGTCTATTTCTTAAAAAAAAATATAATAAACAAAAGATTTTCATTAAACGGCAAAAAAATGAGACTCACCTTTTTCTTCAGGTTTTAAAGGAAAATACTTCTTTTCTGCTGCAATCAAGTCAGGCTTTGGGGCTGGGGGTTAAAAACAATGTTGATACTTTTCAAAAATAATTTCAGAGCACAGCCATAAATACACTGCTTAAAGATGAGCTTAAAAATACTATCAGAAGAAACCATGTAACAGAACAATGCAGCTAAATCACCAGGATTGATTCTTTTCTTTTAAATTGTTTTCACTGCTTGGCATTAAAGGCTTGGTTGTTCATACTGGAGCTGTCATTGTTCCTTTCAGTGTCAGCTCTGAGGGTCTGACTCCACTAAAATGTGACTTCTGTGAGTGAGGAACTAAAATTTCATTTTATTTAAATTTTATTTTATTTTACTTAAATCTGAAGAGGTTCCATGTGGCTAGTGGCTAGAACACTTAATAACAGTGCTTTACAAGAGCCTAAAACACCAGATTCTATAAAAATTACCTTCCACTTATATTCCTTGCTCTAGGATTTAGCCAACAAATAAAAATATAAAGTGGAAAGAACTTAAATGATTCTAAAAAGCAGCAAATTTTTCAATAGAAAAATTCACAACACTTGCAAAACTCAGCTATTTGGGAACAGAACTAAAGGGAAAAGAGAGCCAAATTACAAAACTTTAGTTACAGAAGACAAAATTTAGTTACCTGTTAAAAAAAAATGCAAACTCTCATCTTTCTTTTAAACACTGATGTACTTTTTGAAAGAAGGGTAATAATTAATATTTAAAATACTACCAATTAGATTTCACTTGAAAAGACAGAATAGTGAATAGGACAGGCCAATATATTCAATTATCTAAAACAAATGTAAATTTCATCAGTTTAGTGTTGACCTTTTGGCACTCATGGGTAAGCTGTCTCTATGGTGCTAGCATCCCATACAGGCAACTAGTTTGGGTCCCAGATGTTTCACTTTTGATCCAGCTCCTTTTTAATAGTCTGGGAAAAGTAGTGCAAGAAGGCTCAAGTGTTTGTATACTTGTCACACATGTAAGAGACCAAGACAGAGTTCTTGGCTCCTGGATTTGGCCTACTCCAGCCCTGGCCATTGGGACAACTAGGGAGTGAACCACAACATGGAAAATTCTCCCTCTTTCACCTTTTATCATTATAACTTTGTTAAATAAGGAAATAATTACATCTTTAAAAAATAAGTCATCAGTTTTAATAATTCAAAATGTAATGTAACTGAAATATCCAAATTATTTTTAAAATCATCTTATCATTTCACTTAATTTTTTTAAAATTGATACTGATACATGCAAACACACTCAATTGTTATGCCATTCTAAAATATTTTTATACTGCACATTGGGCTTGTTTCTGTCAAAAAAAAAAAAACTAATAGTTTCTATCAGACTCAACTTTAGCATTTCAGGATATAAATATATGAAAATTAGCAAAATAGAAAGTCTGCTTTATGAAGCATACCTGGACCTTTAACAGGGGGCGGTGGTTTCTTTGGTTTCTGTAAAATAATAACAGAGAAAATGGTTGATTCTTTACATATTGAAATAAATCACATATTGAGCTAAATTCTGACCATTAACAACTTAAATGACATAAATGTCTTAATCTCACTCTTGCTAAAAATTACTAAATGCTCAGATCCTAATTACAAAGGTCACTGACAAAAATTTAACTCATTTGAATAACCTGCTTAACCAAATCCAAATTCATATAACTCAAACATCATCATTAGACTTCATAAAAACCCTAAAATCCTGTGTAAAAAAACATTATTCCCTGCCTTCCTACAGCACAATTCCACCCCTCCTTCAAACCTTAGAGTTGGGTGAGAAGCAAGTAAGACAATGGGACAGAAATCCTATTTCTTAAAATACTATTACTACTACTACTACTACTACTACTACTAAAGTAGAATAGCATTATCCAACTTCAACTTATTTCTTCAGGATTCTAAAAGGAATGTTTACAGGCAAAGGCCTGGTTTCCCTCAATTTATTCATATTAATATAATTAAAGCTTAATGCTTTAAAAAAACCTGACAGAGTTTTAAGCATGCAAATTCTCTTTTCCCAAATAAATAATTAACTGGGATAGGTATTTGCTCTACAGGTTAAGATGCCAATCAGGTCACCTGCGTGCCATATTGTGGTGCCTGGGTTTGATAACTGGCTGAATTACTGACTCCAGCTTCCTGATATTAAAGAAACTGGGAAGCAACAGCGATGGCTAAAGTAACTGGGTTGTGCCATGCATGTAGGAAACCTGCATTGAGTTTCTGGCTCCTGTTTTCAGCCTGGCCTTTGCACAGGGCTGTTGTGGACATCTGGGGAATGAACTAAAGGACAGGACAGGTGGGTGAGTGGCTGGATGTGTATTTATGTGTGTGTGCCTCTCTCCCTTCCATCTTTGTCTCTCAAAATAATGTTTAACAGACTTAAAAAAGTACAAGCCATAGTTCACCTGCACATAATAAAGTAGAAAAGGGAACAGCACTATGGTACAGCAGGTTAAGACAAGGCTTGGTAATACAGTTGGGAAGGAGTGGAAGGCAGCCCAAGTGCTTAGGACCCTGTCACCCACATGGGAGACCTGTGTGGAGTTAGGTCCCTGGTTTCACCCTGAACTAGCCCTGGTCCTTACAACCATTTGGGGATTAAAACAAAGGATGGAAGATCTCTGCCTCTAATAATACTTATAAAATAAACCAAAAAAATCTATTGAAGTAGAGAAATTGTGTTAAGAAAATCATAAAAAGGAAAGCGTACCAGAAGGATGAATCAGCAATGAATGCAATCTAGCAAAGTAAAAGGCCTCGGCCAGCCAGCTTAAGCCTCCATAGAGTGATCAGGAATATTAGTTTGCCTAAGCAAGGGCTGGTAAAGGCTAGCATTCTGAATTGAGTTAACCCAAGCATGGCAGATGCTTTGCTGTAAGCTTCCACTACCATAACTCTCTATCCGCTTTAAAAACTCCATCTGGTGGGTGCGATGCTGCGGTTACTTTGGACATCTACAGTCATGTCTGAGTGCAAGTTGTGAAATCCCAGCTTCTCTGCTTCCAATGCAGCTTTCTGCACCTGGTAAATCAGTGATGACAGCCCAAATGCTTGGTCCTTGACACCAGGTGAGAGATCCAGATGGGGTGTCTGGAACCTGGCTTTGGCTTAGCACAGCCCAAGGTGTTGTAGACATTTAGACAGTGAATCAACAGATAGAAAATTTCTCTCCCTCTCACATCGTTGTCCCACAAATAAATGAATCTTTCAGAGTACCTTGTATGAGTCCTGCTCCTCTGCTTCTGATCCAGCTGCCCACATATGGTGACTGAAGTACCTGTACACTTGCCACCTATGTGAGAGACCAGGATAGAATTCCACAATCCTAGCTTCAGCCTGGTGCATCCCTGGCTGCTGAAGCCATCTGGGAGTGAATTAGTGAGTAGCAAAACAATCTGTTACATCAAAATACTAACCTACTCAATTAGTATAGCCAGTCTTTCCTTTCTTTTTAAATTATAAAATAAAGCAGCCTAATACATTTTACAGTCCTGGGATGAGAAAGTGAAAATAATGTATAGAAATGAAATTTTTAAAATTGCTGGTTTTCTTCTCTCTTTTTTTAGCACCCCCCCTTTTTTTTCCTTCTTAAGATTTCATTTATTTGAAAGACAGTTATAAAGACAGAATGGGGAGAGACATAGGGAGAGAGAACTTCCACCCACTGGTTCACTCCTTAAATGGCCACAATGACAGTAACTGAGCCTGTGTGAAAGCCAGAAGCTTCTGCTGAGTACCCCATGTGGACGTAGGGGTCCACATACTTTGGCCATCTTCTGCTGCTTTCCCAGGTGTATCAGCAGGGATGTGGATACAAACTGGAGCATCCAGGACTCGACATGGTATCACAATATGGCAGCTGAAACATTATTTTGCTTTTACTGTTACTCAAACAACGTGTAAGTAAATAAATAATTTTGTGAAACTCCATGAAACTATTTAATAATACAAAACTCCTGCTTTTTAAAAAAAAGTTTGTAAAATATCATTTTAATTTTATCACCATAGAAAAACAAAAGCTTACTGGAAAATCTTTATCCACTTCACTTATCTGAACAGCAAAATTGTCTGGGAATACTCCTTCTTTACCATTAAGTTCACCTTTCCACCAGCCAGTTTCTCCAGTCTCCTAAGAGAAAAAGAAAACGAACAAACTCAACACAACAGCAGTTATACTTAATAAAACAGTTTACAACAAAATAGGAAAATCCCATTCTTGAAAGAAAAAATTAGGCATGAACAGTCCAAACTTTAATTATTAGACATTACATAGATCACGGGATTCATTCTAAATGAGTATGTGTTTTAGCTGCTTTTGCTACACATACATAGATGTTAATGTGAGACAATAAATATTAATTTGTATCACTAACATTTTTAACATCACTGAGAATGTACAATGTCACAGACTTTAATATAAACAGACAAAATTTAGTTTTTAAGATTGCATATACTAAGCCATCCAAGTAAATAGAAAAAAAATGGACCAAACTTCACAATTTAGCATATAGGGCTGTAGCAAAAACAAGTATTTATAATTTCCCTACATTACAAATATTTATTGTTAGACTCTGCCCATGCCGAAATACCACTGGGTTCCATTTTTGTCTCAGAGTTTACTGCAAGCTATAAAAATCACTTCATTCCTTAAATAGCTACACCATCTTCCACAGTATGAATAATTTCAACACCATTTACATGCTTGTAAACTTAAGTTTTCTTCTTTTTCTTTTTATATTATAAACAATGATCCAAACAGCAGATGGGTGGAACAAATACAATGAGAGAGAACAACAGTAAGAAAAGAATTCTGGAAGCTTGGGGTTAGCATAGAAAAGAAATAATATCACAGCTAGAAATAATTCTCAGGCGGCCAGCACTGTGGTGTAGCATTTAGGCTGCCACCCCCATCTGGGCACCGTACCCCATATGGGTGCTTTCAAATGGGTGCAGGTTTATACACCAGATGATCTACTTCCAATCCAGCTTTCTGCTAAAAATGCTTTAGGGAAAGAGTGGAAATGGCCCAAGTCCTTGGGACCCTGCTCACATTTGGAGACCCTGGGTTCAGGCTTTGGTTTGGCACAGCCCTAAACACTGCAGCCATTTTGGGGAGTTAACCAGTAATGGAAGATTTCTTCCTCTTTGTATGATTTTCAAATAAATGAATAAGTTAAAAAATAAAGAAATTCTCAAGGCAGCTGTTTGGTGTGGTGGCTAAGATGCAGCTTGGGACATCAGAATTCTGGGGTTCCACTCCCAGTTTGATATTCAAGTTCATTTTTCTGCTGTGTGCCCTAGGAAACAGCGAAGTGATGGCTTGAATCCCTGCCACCAAAGTTTCTCTGCTTTTGTCTGCTTCACAAACATGTCTTTAGCAGTGAAAGAAAAATTTTTAAAATTCCAAACATATCAATTATAGCAGGAATAGACAATGAAATTTCATTCAAAACAACAACAACAACAAAAAAACAACACCAGAAACATGAGCACTTCTGCAACATGTTACCAGGACTTAGAAACAAAGTCAAACTTTTTTGCAGTTTATATTCTAGCGAAAACAAGAATATGTGAAAAGCATTTCTAGAATACATTATAAAATTCACTGAAATACTGAAAAAAACCTTACCTTACTTATCAACTGGATTATCTCCCCCTCTTTAAATGTAAGCTCATCTTCATTAGTACCTTCATAGGCAAATAATGTTCTACAATATTCCTTTCCTGGAATAAAGAAGGTAAATAATGTAGCTTGTAAAAATGAACTAACACATAATTCTTAAGCTTCTATTTTGTGTAATGTACACTAAAGCTAATATAACTTAAAATTTTAAAATTTATTACAATTTAGTAGGTATTATGTTAACATAGTTATTAAACATTCATTTCATTACTGATTCATTCAAGTGTTTACTAGGTGCCTTTATATCACTTCTTTGCTAGTTTTAAATCAATGGGACATATTAAAACACTTGCCTTCCTAGGTCACATCTACTCATAATAGTCTGACTAAACAGTACAATGTAACAAGTATCTTTAATGATTCGAACATTACATGTGAATGTTTCACTATGTAAGATTTTTATTTAAAAACTTACCTTTTATTTTACCTTCAATGTCTGTTTTTATCTCCACATTCTGACTTTTGGATCCTCCTGGCTGTAAGATCGATGGCTAATACAGAAAGGACAGCACCAATTATTCTATGTTAGAATAAAGACAGTACTATTCAACACTCACCAAGCTTTCGCTGAAGGTATTTACAACCAGGTTAGTACTGCGACTGAAAACAACAACAACAACAAAAGACCTGAAAGATTTCTTAAAGTATGGCCCAGACAATAAGTATACTCGGATGCTCCTAATACATGGTTTAGAAATATCTTTAAAACTAATAATAAACTGAGCCCAGCGGCATGGCCTAGCAGATAAAGTCCTCGCCTTGAATGCACCAGGATCCCATATAGGCGCTGGTATTAATCCCAGCAGCTCCACTTCCCATCCAACTCCCTGGTTGTGGCCTGGAACAGCAGTCGAGGATGGCCCAAAGCCTTGGGACCCTGCACCCATGTGGGAGACCTGGAAAGAGGTTCCTGGTTCCGGGCTTCGGATCGGCACAGCACTGGCCATTGTGCTCACCTGGGGAGTGAATCATCGGATGGAAGATCTTCCTCTCTGTCTCTCTTCCTCTCTGTATATCTGACTTTGTAATAAAAAGAAATAAATCTTTAAAAAAAAAAAGAGTTGTGAATTAATTCTTATGTTTTAAAAATTGTGTAATGAGGTTAAATTTTGCCACTTGGCATGCCCAAATAATATATCAAAGTGTAGGTTCGAATCCTAGCTGCTCTATTTCTAAGCTAGCTGCCTGCTAATGTGTAAAGTTCCTGTCACATATGTGAGACTTCCTGCCTTTGGCTTCAGCCTGGCTCAGTACTAACTGTTGACAATTTAGGGAGTGAACACACAAAAGAAGAGCTAGCTCCAACTCTGTCTTTCAAATAAATCTTTCAAAAACTGTTTAAGGAGACAGTAAGTTAATCTAAGTTAAATTCACCATTATCACCTTTTCTGGTTTTTTTTCTTCTGTTTCACTACTGGATGTTCTTGTCCTGAGTTTCACAGAGCCTTCTTTAAAAATATCTCCAAATCCAATTCCTCGAATTTTCTTTGGCTGCGTAATTGATCCAGTTGCAGTTTCGGTCCCATTCCCCAGAGAGGGTATAGGTGAGGTAGATCCGGTCAAAACAGTTTCTGAAAGAATAATTAATTTTAAAACTTTACACCTAGAATCATGAAAATCTTGACATTTCCTTCCATAACATCTGCATTCTATTTATTATAATGAAAAAATAGGAAAACAAAATAATTAAGTAATTATGTACTAAAATATCCAAAGGAGTAATGTACTCTATATTAAAGTGTGTGTGTGTGTGTGTGCACGCGCTTGTGTGTGTAACAGAGAGAAGAATAATTTCAGGTATATTTTATTATTAAGGTATTAACAGATCCAAGATATCATATAAAGTATATAATAAAAGGATATAAAATTTATAGTTTTTAGCCAAAGAGGGCATAAATATATACCTGAAACAACAAAATGATAAAGGATAAACATTTTAAGGAGCCAGAATTGTGGTGCAGTGGGTTGAGCTACTGCCAATTGTGCCAGTATTCCACATGCGCTCTGGCTGAGGATGGCTTTCCTACTTTTAATTCAGCTCTCTTAAATGCACCTGGGAAGATGAATCAAGTGCTTGGTTCCCTGACAACCAACATGGGAGACACAGATGGAGTTCCTGGCTGCTGTTTTTCGCTTTACCTAGCCCAGGTCAATATGACCATTTGCGCAGCGAACCAGCAGAGGAAGACTGGCTCATCAATTAATTTATCTCTTTGCAAACAAACAACAAATCTTTTTAAAAGTTATAAGACTCCATCTGATCTAAAAGTTAGGGCAAGTTTTTCAGTATAAAAATAAGAAATAAGTTGTTTTTTTAAAAGATTCGCTCATTTTTATTACAAAGTCAGATATACAGAGAGGAGGAGAGACAGAGAGGAAGATCTTCCATTCGTCCAATGATTCACTCCCCAAGTGAGCACAATGGCCAGTGCTGTGCCGATCCGAAGCCCGGAACCAGGAACCTCTTTCCAGGTCTCCCACATGGGTGCAGGGTCCCAAGGCTTTGGGCCATCCTCGACTGCTGTTCCAGGCCACAACCAGGGAGTTGGATGGGAAGTGGAGCTGCTGGGATTAATACCAGCGCCTATATGGGATCCTGGTGCGTTCAAGGCGAGGACTTTATCTGCTAGGCCATGCCGCCGGGCCCAAAAAATAAGTTTTTACAGTGGACATTTAGTGACCAAGATGTCCATACCATACATCAGAATATATGTGTGTTCAATTCTCAGCCCTGGCTACTAAACTCCAGCTTCCTACTAAAGCAAATTCTAAGAGGTTCGAGTAATTACATGAATTTCACCATCCTGCTCTGTTGATAAGCCCCATTCTTCTGAGTTTCCACTTGCAATTTTTCCTCTACTTATTCTTTACCATTAGCATCTAAGGATGCTTAAGATTTTTATTCTCTAAATTATAGGAAACATTCCCGAATATACTGTAAAGAATGTTCACTGCTGCACTGCTTTATGCTTCCTTTCTTCACTTAACCTCCCTTGAATTCACCTTCTCCAATTGCTTCTCCAATCCAGGTCTTTAAATGAGTTTGTCATTGTTAATCCAGAATTTTTCTTATATGCCAAATAGAATTGCAGAGGGCAGGACTCCACATTGTAGAACAACGTTTATGAAGCCAGCACATGCAACATCAGTGTATTCTACCAGAGCTCTGGTTTGAGTCTTGGCTACTTTGCCTCTGATCCAACTGCCTACTAACTAACCTTGGAAAGCACCAGAAGATGGCCCATGTTCATGGTTTCCTGCCTCGCACATGGGAAAGCTGAATGGATTCCCTGTCATTACAGCCATTTGGGCAATGAATCAGTAGCTCTCTTTCTCTGTCACTCTGACTTTCAAATAAATAAAATACATCTTTAACCAACGTTCTCATCTTAACCACCATTCAGTCACAAATTTATCCTGATTCTCTGTACATTCTTGCTCTCTTTTTCACTTTCCTTGAAGTATAAGACCCTACCCCAAGCACTTTATCTTTACTCTGCACATAGTTCCTAGCGATTTCTTCTAATCTGATGGTTTCCTACACTACTTAAAACACTATCAAGTTCTAATTTTGGAAGGTTCTGATCCATAAATAGATCTCACTATCAAATATTTTCATTTGCTTCCCCTCCAACTCAGCTCCAATACTGAATTCATTACAATACCCCTTAAAGTTAACCCTTATTTCTACAAATGGCATCTCCCATCTACTCCCTCACTAAGCTGAAAACATGGTAGCATTTGACAGTGATCTTTGCATATGCCATCATCACTAGACCCTGATACCAAGCAGAGATCCTATTCTACCTCTCCATTTCCAATGTATTCTTCTAGTTTAGGTTAATATTTCACCTAAATGATCAAAACAGTCTCAACTGCTCTAGTCATTTAAATCTCACTCTTTGGCAATCTACTTTCCACATCACAATTCCCTTTCCACACGTACCAATCTATCTTAAAAAAAAAAAAAAACAAACTGGGGCCTGGTATGGTAGCCTAGCAGCTAAAGTCCTCACCTTGCACATACCGGGATCCCATATGCGTGCCGGTTCTAAAATCTGTGGCCTCATTTCCCACCCAGATTCTTCCTTGTGGTCTGGGAAAGTGATTGAGGACTGCCCAAAACCTTGACCCTGCACCTGCTTGAGAGACCCAGAAGCTGCTCCAGGCTCCTGGCTTCAGATCGGCTCAGCTCCAGCCACTGCTGTCACCTGGGGAGTGAATCATCAGACAGAATATCTTCCTTTCTGTCTCTGCTCTCTGCATATCTGACTTTGCAATAAAAACAAATAAATCTTTTTAAAAATCTGATCCTTTTGCCCTCTTTTAAGACATTACTGTGACTTGATTAATATTTTAAGCATTCCTTAAGCGTGGTTCAGCCTAAATATTTTACCACACGTAACTATATAAATTGGATCTGTTTCAGGATCTTGAAAATGCTGCCCTCTTTCTTCAACTTCTACCATAAACTTCAATTCTGGGTATTAATAGGAGATCTCTTATGTTCATGCTCTTATGTCCTGCCAGTCCATATCAGCTGTCTTAGTTATATTACCACCTTGAACTTCCCTGTCAAAAATATTTCTCATACTGAATAACAATCACTTGTTAGAATATTTTCTTTCTCAACTGAACAGAAGATTCAAGAGGAAGATTAGTGCAGGTTTCCCATTAACTATTTTCCCAGAATTTTAATAATATGCTCAAGAAGCACAATATGCACAAAGAGCAAATATGACTAATTAGCAAACAGCTGCATTTATATATAGAAATCTTCTAAGTTTCTGAAATATTGCGCCATTTGTAAACTAAGTAAAAATGTATTTCGTGTAAGTATTTGAACTAGTTAAATCCCAGTTAGAACACCAACATGCTACATCAAAGAGCTTGGGTTGGAGTCCCAGCTCTGGCTTCCACTTCCAGCAATTAGTGCAGGCACTGGAAGGCAGATCACCTATGAGACATGGAATAAATTCTGAAATCGATTCAGCTCTGAGCTCGGCGAGCATTTTGAAAGTGAAACACAGATGGGAATGTGTATGCACAGTCAATCCCTATCAATAAACCTCTTCCCTCCCCCGCCCATTCGTATCAAAAGAAAAAAAGGTATATATAAATATATCTTATCTAGAACTGAATCGTGTAACATGAATGGCACCATTTTATAATCAGGATACTAAATGTTTGCATAGGGTTGAAGCAAAATACTGGAGAAAAAGATTGCTAGTGCAGATAGTTTTAATTCAAGCTGAGTATCCATCATAATATATTTTTTATGAGTAACTGAAGATGACTGAAAAGGTCAAAACTAAGAAAGAACAGATCTTTAAAACAAACAAACAAGCACTGGAATACACAGTTTACTTCAGTCTGACGTCTAGTCAGACGTCTCTTAACAGTCTACCTGATTCCTCCTGGGCGTCATGAGCTTCACCATCATCTGCTACCTCCAGTTCTTTCACAAAATTTGAGGGGAAGAGTCCCGACTTGTTGTTCAGGGTTCCACTCCACCAGCCTTCTTCTACCTGAAAGAAATCACAACTCAAAAATAGTAAAAATCCCTCTTCAGTGAAAATGAATTCTTTAAAACTTAAGAAAACATAATAGGGAAAAATGTAGTAAGTGATTCCAAGTAGATAAATTTACCCAAATAAGGAAAAAACTTCCAAGTTAGAGCTCCACGGACACAGTATTCATATAGGTAGATCTAACTTCAAGTCAAAAATTTTCAGAAAACAAAAACAAAATTGAGCCTGTACTAAAAATTAAACAGACTTGTTTTTCCAAATGCAGTTTAACAATTATTTTCATGTTTCTATTAGGTGTTATAAGTAATTTAGTTTTGATTTAAAAGTATGTCAGAGAATGAATATACATGTATATCTATGTACTCACACATATCTATTTATACAATACATGGAAATACCGAGTTATTTTCTTTAAGGAATTTGAGGATATGACAATTGGTATTGCAGAGGGGAAAAATCACAAAATACAGCTTTCTAAAGATACTGACAGAGATTTATACATTTAAAAATCCACATGTTATACTGTACTAACCCTTACTCCTAACACAAATGTTTCCATGAATCCATTCACTGATAATACTTATTTCCATGAAATTATTTACAGTTTCTGCTAAGAATATTAAACAGTTTTAATCAGCAAAAAAAAAAATTAATAGTAAATTAATCATGAAAAATTACTTAGTACCAGTGCATGTAATAGCACACTTGGAAAGTAATAAATTTTCTGTTTAAAATATTTTTAACAATTCTACCTCATCATAATTAGAAAGCTATCGTTTAAGAAGTTATTCATCCAACAGGCACTTCTGATGTATAAGTCATGGTGTTAACTGACAGGAAAAGATTCAAATTTATAAATAAGAAACCCCTGTCCTTGAATAACAAACTAAAGAACGCAAACAATAAGAAATTATAATGCAATAGAACACTGCAACAAAAGAACAAATAAAATGAAATAGCAGCACACAGGAAGGACTTGAAAGAATGAAAACATATTTCATTAAAAGGAAGTGACAAGCTTTGGGCAATGGCAATATCACAGCAAATCAGATTTATCTGAGGCATGATTACTGTTAATCAAAAAGGAAGTGACAAAAGAAAACGATACTAAAGGTTGAAAAAAAGTTCTCCAGGAAAAATGTAGGAATAAAAACAAAGAGTTGATTCGTGGAAAGTGTAGCTGGATACAAGCTATGTCAGGAAGGGAAGGCAGGAGCAGAATTTTAAGATTTAAGAAGTCACCAAGGGATTGGGAGTGACTCAACCAAATGTGACAAATTCAAACAAACAAATAAAGGAAGAAACCATCAGCTACCTATTATCTATTGCTGGAGTCCTAGCTGGCAAAAATTGTACAGTCAGGGTGATTTAGTTAAGGAAGTCTTAGGAGGCATAACAGTACAGTGAAAAAGAATACCAACTAAAAAATGAGCTGCATGGATTCAAATTCAGGCTTCCTTACATGTCAGGCAAAGACTGCTGGAAGTAGAGTGTTCCCGCCCACTTCCCAAAGGTCAATTCTCCCAACAGAAATGGAGGCATCTGTTCCCCATCTTTTCAATTCTGGTTACTTAACAACCTACTTATAGCCAACAGAACATAATAAAAGTGACACTATTTTTTTCAAGGCTATATTACAAAGACAATGAAGCAAACATTGCATTTGTTAAAATGCCTCCTCTTATATCTCTAAGTTGCCACACGCTAAGTATAAGCACCCTGAAGACCCCACCCAATACCATAAGCAAGCAACACTGAGGGGGTACCTAAGGGCTCTCCAATCAGCAGATAATGGTCTCAAAGCCTCCAGGCATGGACAGTTGAGAGCAAGAACCTTCCTTGAATTCCAGCAACCCCATCACTGAATCTTTCCAGCTGGGGACTTCAAACACCATGAAATACAAATGAGACTTTGGCACCATACATGCATAATAGAATGTTCTTTTCTTTATCATTAAGTCTGGGATGGTTTGGTAAGAGCAATAATAATGAGAACTGCCAATCACACTTTCTGTGATTCAACCTCTTTATATGTAAAATGGGGCTAAACATTTGTCACATTAAACTGTTCAGAAATTTAAAGAAATAAAAAATGAAACAGCACATTATTAGTCAGCAAGCAGGTATAAATAATGCCTTTACTATAAACATCCTGGAAGTTAATGTAAGCATGCCAAATTACAAGTTGTTATGAAAGAGAATCAATCCTGCCTACAAAACATATCCTTTGAAAATGGGATCTTTAGGGCCTGGCGCATTAGCCTAGTAGCTATCGTCCTTGCTTTGAATGCACTGGGATTCCATATGGGTGTCAATTTGTGTCCTGGCTGCTCCACTTTCCTGTGAAAGTGGAATGAAATTCAGCTGAGTTAGATTGGATTGTTCTGAGATTGTCTGAGATTGTCTCCAAATTTCAGATGGTGCTCATGCTTGCTCAGTTAAGAGTTCCAGCCTCCAGCCTCCAGCTCTCGCAGCTGCCCCAAACAGACTCTCAGCTTGCAACAGAACACATGCTAGCTTGCTATCCTGTCTAAGCCCGTGTACACGCTGTATCCTCTAGCATTCCTCTGGTCAAATAAAGCCTCTGGGAACTTGCAAAGTTGCAAAAGCACACAAGCATACTCCATCTGTGAGGCCTTAACAGGAGTGAAAAGGTATTGTATTGCTTATAAGGGAAGAAAACAAAGAACGGAGAAAAATTATTGATCCATCTGTGATGTAATGAAATATACTAAAACACTGACAGCTTAGTGTAGCTAGGAATCATTCTGATTAAATTAGCCTGCCTGTATTTTTTAATAGATTGACTTTTTTATTCCTTCAAGTAAAATTTCTTAACAATAAAGCAAGGCTAAAATTTTTAATGTTCATCACTAAATGGTTAAAGCAAATGTGGAAAAAGTATTTTTGGTTACTATCTGTAATAATTCATACAAGGTAAAGGTTTTAAAGATTGTGTTCTGTATTCCAGCATAATTCATGCCTTGAGTGAATTCAGAGTTAAAGAAAACATTTATCATATTTGATCATTACTACTGAGTTCATGAACTTAAGCATAAAAAGCTTTTTACTTCTGAGGAAAAACATGTACAAATACAATATATAAACCACTAAATTTAAATAAATAAAGAAAACAAAGTCTTTACTTTTTATGTTTCACAAAAAGAAACTGGCAAAATCTCACATTTACAAAGTACTTTTCAAAAACCCAGGATTTAATTAAAATTGCTCCTTCTTGCTTAATAGGTTTTTCTTACCTCTTCATTAATATCAATAATATCGCCCACTTTCAGCTCCAGTTCATCCTCATTTTGTGGAATGTACTCAAAAAGAACTTTACATTGACGCTTCTTGGTCTCTAAAGATGTAACATAATGAAAAATTAATTTAAGAAATACACTATTAAAAAACCCACAAGCTTATTTACAAACCATATTTAGTTATAGAACCTATATGAACAAACAAAAACAGAACTTATAATCATTCCAAACAGCTAACTACAATTAATCTGCACTGGCTTTTCATCCTGACTCCATACTTTAATGTATTCATCTGCAAATAAATTCAAAAAAATCATAAGCCTCTGGCAATGGAATCTTTTATATATCTGGTCCTATCACTTACTCCTAAAGAAAATATTCATTAAAAAGTTTGAATCTCTCAAATATAAAAGGGTTTTTCTCCACCACATCCTGGATTCACCAGAGCACTTTCTCCCAAGAGATAAGTGCATATTTTAACATAGCAAGAACATGCTTCCCCAAGAGGAAAGTCCCCCACCTAAAGCGCCAGCACAATTCAGTTGCCGCCCATTTCCAAAGAGGTAGTTTCAGACTGCTCTCTTTTTTTTTTTTTTCTTTATGGAGAAACTCCTCTGAAGTGAAGTTTTAAAGATTTATTTTATTTATTTATTTTTTTGTTGGAAAGGCAGATAAACGGAGAGGAGGAGACAGAGAGGAAGATCTTCCATCCATTGATTCACTCCCAAAGTGAGCGCAACGGCAGATGCCATGCCAGTCAGAAGCCAGGAGCCTCTTCCGGGTCTCCCACGCGGGTGCAGGGTCCCAAAGCTTTGGGCTGTCCTCGACTGCTTTCCCGGGCCACAGGCAGGGAGCTGGAAGGGAAGCGGGGCTGCCGGGATTAGAACCGGCGCCCATATGGGATCCCGGACGTGCAAGGCGAGGACCTTAACCACTGTGCCATCACGCCGGGCCCTGAAGTGAAGTTTTAAAAGACACTATCCCCACTATCAGTAGAGGTTCTTTCTTTCCTACTCCTGCCACTATGGCAGGAGGTCTAGGGTCTCTTCTCTTTTTCTCTAGAAGCCCTCCTCCCGTCACTAGGACGGGAGCTCCTCTTCTCAGCTTTTCTAATAAATCTTGCTTTAAAACTACAGAAAAGAAAAAAAAAATCTGAATCTAGAAAGAGAAATGACAGAAGACACTTTAGATACAACAAATTTAAGTCCTACAGGCCAGTGAACTTCAGACCACTTACTTTACCAAGTACAAGAATATAAGAATATTTAAGACACATTAAAAAATGATTTCTTTTTTGGAAAAACAAAATAGCAGATAGGAAGGGAAAGAAAATCTTCCACTCTTGGTATGCACCCACCCCACCAACACGGTCATAAGGGACAGGGCTGTGGTGATCTTGAAGGAGTCAAAAACTCCACCTGACTCTGCCACATGGATGCAGGGACCCAAACACTTGGGACACCCTCCAGTGTTTTACCAGGTGGGTCAGAAGGCAGAACAGCAGAGATTCAATGCCCATCTGGGATACTAACATTGTAGGCAGTGGCTTAACATACTGCAGCACAAAGATGGCCCACATTAAGAATGTGTGATTAAAAAATAAGGCAAAATGTGTAAGTCTAGTTTTTATTTCCTTTTTCTAAAAAAAGAAAGATTTATTTACTTTTATCAGAAAGGCAATGTACAGAGAGGAGAAACAGAAAGATTATCCAGTTCACTCTCTGAACAGCTGCAAAGACTGGAGCGAAGCCTGTCTGAAGCCAGGAACTTCCTTTGAGTCTCTCACGCAAGTGCAGGGTCCCAAGGTTTTGGGCCATCCTCCACAGCTTTCCCAGACTGTCAGCAGAGGCCGGATGGGAAGTGGAACAGCCAGGACATGAACTGGCACCCATAGAGATCCCAGCACACGCAAGGTGAGGAGTGAGTTAGTGAGACATCACAATGGGTGTTAAAGTTTTTCTTTAGTAGCTATTTTATGACAGACAAAAATCAAATTTGCAAAGATGAAGACAAAAGTAATTTGTCAAAAAGACTCATCACTAATTAAGCTTTTGTTCTCGACATTTTGCAAGTTCCAAGAATTAAAGAGTCCAGAGTCACCCAACATTTTAAAAGTCAGTCACTAGGAATAACACTCACTAAAAAAAGGTAAATGTGAAGAACATGCCAGTAAAGTGACAGAAGACTACATCAATTTGCAACCATTTGCTAAAATGACAGGACCAAATTACCACCCATTCACATTAACGTTGAATGTTAAAGGATTAAACTCATCAACCAAATGTCATAGAGTACCTGGGCTTCTGCATCTAGGTGTAGCCCAGGAGGAAGTTCCTGGCTTTGGCCTAGACCAAACCTGGCCCTTGCGGCCATCTAGGCAGTGAACAAGGCAATGGAAGATTGGTTTTCTTTTTGAAAGTCTGCTTTCAATAAAAAAAAAAAAAAACCAAGAATGAGGAAGTAATACAAAAATGGGAACAAGGAGGGGTGGTGGTGAGAGAAAGGGAGAGAGCAGAAAAGGGAAGAGGAAAGGAAAAGTGTGAGAAGGGGAGGGGAGGAAAAAGAAGAGAGGGTGAGAACAGAGAGGAGGAAAGTTAAAGAAATACAGTATCTCAGTTCCTACCAGACTTCACTAAAAACTAAAAATTTCACTGTTGAAGTTAACATGCAATGTGTTTCTAGCCATAGGATTTACTGAGAAATAATTAAGTTTAAACGAGTTCAAAAGGATACCTATCAGATAAAAACTAATCAGAGAAGTGACACTAACTCACTACTGTCCTCCTCCTTCCTCCCTCCTCCAAAAGAAGAAAGACCATATGAAAAAACAATGTGGCCAAGGGAGGCATCACCAGAACCAACCCTAAAAGCACTTAGGTAATGGACTTGGGTTAAGTATTCAAGATTCTGAGAAATTAACTTCTGTTGTAAGGAATCACACATCCTTGGCACTGTGAGGGAGTGGCAGCTGCAGATTACCCAGGGCAGAGGGTCTGGGGAGTGACAGAGGCCCAAACATGTAGGCCAACTTCTGCTGCTTTCCCAAGCTGACAACAGAGAGCCAGGTCCGAAGTGCAGCAGCTAGGAATTGAACTGGCAAAATCAAACACTGCAAACAGTGGCTTACCCTGTTACCCCATTAACAGAAAGCCCTTGTTTTATTTGTTAATAAGAACATTAAGATAAATTTTATTGACTGATAAGCAATATAATAATTTTAAAATAAGACATACTTTATGAATTACAAGTCTGGTACAAATTAACAGTAACAAGATCACATTTAATGAAATCCGTTAAGTGGTAGGAAAACAAGGAAAGCAAAAAACAACTTGTAAACTGTTTTAAATGCTGGTTAACAACATTGTTCATAAAAATGAACAATTTTATCCATGCAGAACTGTACTTAAAAGCAAGTTATGGAGGATCTTGGAGAAAAAAGCCTAAGCAGGATTCCTGGCACCTACATATAATGGTTGGTCCTAATTCCAGCAGGGAACTACACCAGAGGTTCTTAAAAAGGTGAGATCGGGCCCGGCGCGGTGGCGCAGTGGTTAAGGTCCTCGCCTTACACGCCCGGGATCCCATATGGGCGCCGGTTCTAATCCCAGCAGCCCCGCTTCCCTTCCAGCTCCCTGCCTGTGGCCTGGGAAAGCAGTCGAGGATGGCCCAAAGCTTTGGGACCTTGCACCGGCGTGGGAAACCCAGAAGAGGCTCCTGGCTTTGGACTGACATAGTATCTGCCGTTGCGCTCACTTTGGGAGTGAATCAATGGATGGAAGATCTTCCACTCTGTCACTCCTCTCTGTATATCCACCTTTCCAATAAAAAAATAATAAAAATAAATCTTTAAAAAAGAAAAAAGGTGAGATCACTGTGTCAGTTCCTATCAGGAAACAAAATGAATAAAACAGTCATGATATTGATTCTGCTTAAGGAATGTATTTTTTATGGCCCCAAAGGATGAAAACAGAAGTTCCAAATCATTTAGGTATAGGTAGGAGTTATAAATGATTTCCGTTCCTAAAAATTCTTCTTAAATATAGGAATACTACATGGAGATTCAACTAGAGGATACAGATTTTAGTTATTTTATCCCAAGTCTCCAAGGAAAGAATTTCAAATTCCAGGACCAGTGTCAGTACTGATATACGCCTTTAGGCAGTTAGGCTAAAATAAAAATAGTACAGGCAGCATTTAAATATTATTTGGACACTGCACATTCTGGGGAAAAAACTTTTAACTTGTTTGTCTTAGCATCATAAAATCATTTTAATTTTATGAAAATTTTTCATTTTATGAAAATCAAATAGACATGTAGCACACAAAGTAGAGGTCTACCCAAACAGTCAGTGGAAACAGTGTAGGAAGCATGTATAGGAAAATGGAGATGTAAGCATTCGCTATAAAATTCACAAAATAACCTTACACTTATAATTTGGAAAACATATATATACACATTTCTTAACACTACATGGAATCAAAAGGAATTTACAAATCACAATTTCCAAAGCATTAATCTAAGATAAATGTGGTTTCTCATTCACTACTTATTAGTTCAAACTGGCCATTGTAATTAGTGCTCAATCTTACAAAAAGTTTCAGCTCTCACTATATAAAAGCAATATTTCCACAATTTCTGTACTTGTCAGAACAAGTACAATATTTTAAACGTTTTTACAGTTTTGAGATGACAAGCTCTTTAAGAACTGCAGTATTACCCTCTTTGCAGTCACTTTCTCAAAAGCAATAAAAACTCAAGAGGGTTTAAATGATGCTTCTGAGGTCAGAGCACAGACACAAATCTGCATGTAATTTCAAGCATGATGTTCCCTTTCTCTGCCAATCTAGATTTCTAACATATTTACAGAGTCCCAAATTCCGTAAAGGGAACTTTGTTGGGATAATGACTGAAAAATTTATGTTCAGATGGCTTACCACCAAAGAAAAAGCATTGTCAAAATTTTTGTATCAGGCCGGGTATTGTGGCAGAGTGGGTTAAGCTGATGCTTGGAACAACTACACATCATACCAGAATTAGGGTTCAAGTTTGAGCTTTTCCACTCCTGAACCAGCTTCCTGCTAATTCATTCTGGTAGGCAGCATGTGACAGCTAAGCGCTTAGACCCCTATCACCCACTTGGGAGAACCAGATGGAGTTCTTGGCCCTGGCTTCAGTGTGCTCCACATCTGGCTATTATGAGCATTTGGGGCATAACCAAGCAGATGGAAGGTCTCTCTATATAGGGCTGTATTGCAAGTAAATGGAAACAAATGTACACATTTTTTTCTGCATCTATATTGCTAAGCATCACCAACATTTCAGTATTCTATCAAGTAAATAGTATTAAAATGTATTAAGGTGGGAAGGCATTATTGTATGCTATGTCAAATGTCACTTGAGATGCCTGAATCCTATATCTGTTCAAATCCCAGTTACTCCACTTCCTAACCCAGTACCCTGCTAATGTGTCTGTGAAGCAGCAAATGGCAGTTCAGCTACATTAGTTCTTATCATCCACATGGAAATTTAGATGGAGTTCTCGGCTCCTGGCTTCAGTTTGGCCCAACCCTGGCTATTATAGCCACTTAGGGAGTGAACCAGTGGATGGAAATTCTCTATTACTTGGTGTTTCAAATTAAAAAGTGCTTAAAAAAGAAAACCTACTTCAAGAAAAAAGTAAGCAATAAAGATACAATGCTAGGCACTCAATGGAGTCGATAATATTAACAAAAAAACAAAGCCTCATACTGCATTCTACCATTGTTATAAACAGTTATCAGCTACTCATGATGAATTACCACTGTTACTAATTGTACATGATTCAAAATGAATATTGACTACTCATGCCAATAACAATAGCAGCAGCATAACAGTAAGCTACTGCAGTCAGTGGCAGAAAGCCAAATTAAAATAACCCTTAATGTTGATGTCATTAAGTGGGAAAGAGTTACTGACATACTTTTCTTCAGGTTTTTGGTTTGTGGGTGTGGCTGAATTCCTCCCGCTGGAAGTCCATAGGTGCTTATTCGTTGTACAAGACTGGCTACATTTCCATGCCTTTCCCGTTTGATCGGTAAGCTGTCATCCTTGGACTCTGTCTCTCTTTTAATTTCCTATGAAAGAAGAAAAATCAAGAAGATGTGAACTAAACTGAATTTTATTTAAATTCTGAAATATGCTGAAAAACAATTACAGTGATGAAAATATAAACCACAATATTAATAGTTTCCAATCTTTTGCATGAGCAAAATGCAACTTCAGAATGATACACATTTTGGCTTATCATTATGAGTTTAGGACTTACCAGAATTGGAGACAGAAAAAAAAGGAAAAAAAGGCTAAAACTTTACCCCACATCTTATTCCAACATATCAAGAAACCCTGATTCACAATTCAGAAAACTTTTTCTATAAAACACTAGATATGACACTTTATAACATACAGGCGAAGCAATACAATCTCTTTTGTAACAATCAACTCTGCCATATGCAGAGAAGGCAAAAGCATAACTATATTTCAATAAAACTTTATGGACAGTAGAATTTTAACTCCATATAATTTTTATATGTCATGAAAAAGTCTTTTTCCCAACTTTGTAAAACCCAGATAAACAGATGGTGTTCAAATTTTGTACTGTGGGCCTTAAGTCTGAAGTCTTAATGTAAAACATCAGAGAACATAAATATCAAGAGAGCAGCGCTGTGTTCAGTGTCAGTTCTTAGGGGAGGTATCTGGCAGGACAACAGTTAGGATCCCTGCATCCAGGAATGTGTGTATTGTAGCAGTAAAGCCATTACACGTATGACTATATCCTACACTGCAGTGCCTGTCTGGCTCTAGCTCCAGCTTCTCCACTTCAGATCCAGCTTTCCCACTAGCATACACTCTGGAAGGCAGCAGATGAAGATTCTAGTACTTGGGAGCTCAGCCACCTACATGAGACCTATGATATTCATGAATATTTAGATGGAAGAAATCTTCTGAGGACAACAGGAAGGAAAGCAAAAATAGAATGCATTGGGAATTAAAAACTAAGGTTGACAGCCTTCCAAATACATAAAGCCAAATGAGTTTCTATCACAAGAATGAAATGACCTCAAAGTTCTAAGCAAGATTAAGGTCAAGTTTTCTTTAAGGTCCATCAGCTCCTCCTCTGTATCTTATCTCTCTCCCCACCATAACCCCATTTTACCAAATGCACACACATCAGCTCCCATCAGTCCACTATGTTCCCCTGTTTCTGGACAGAGTACCTCCAGACAATCCAGGGTATCAGCTAATTTTAATGAACATTTACAAAGTGTTAGGTCTCTGGTGTCTCTTCCTTCATGACCTTTATCCCCCAAACAGCCAGTAGATAAAATGCAGCGTACACCACAGTATTTACTTTTTATCAACTTCACTTCCTTTGAAAATGTTTTCCAGGATATTCCACTTGAAGAAAAAAAGAACCATGTATGAAGCACAGGAAGACTTCAACAACTGAATCCCACTTCCCAAATAGAAGCTTTCTACACAGTAGGTTATATCAACACAAAATTGGAGTAGGAAAATAATCTGGATAATGTCCATGAAAATAATGCAAAGTAGAAAATTCACAAAACACTCCTTAAAAATAGTATACTCATGGTGGCCCAGTGCCTAAATCCTTGCCTTAAACACGCCAGGATCCCATATGGGCACAGGTTTGTATCTTGGTTGCTCCACTTTCCTTCCAGTTTTCTGCTTGTGGCCTGGGAAAGCAGCAGAGGATGGCAAAAAAAAGCCTTGGAACCCTAAATCTGTGTGGCAGACCCGGAAGAAGCTCCTGGCTTCTGACTTCAGATCAGATTAGTTCCTGCCATTGCGGCCATTTGGGAAGTGAACCAGTGGATGAAGATCTTTCTCTCTGTATCTCTCTCTGTACTTCTGTTCCAATAAAAATCTTTAAAAAAAAATTATAACATACTGTGGCCCAGCACGGTAGCCTAGGGGCTAGGCTCCTCGCCTTCTATATGAGCACCAGTTCTAATCCTAGCGGCCCCACTTCCCATCCAACTCCCTGTTTGTGGCCTGGGAAAGCAGTCAAGGATGGCCCAAAGCTTTGGGACCTGTACCCATGTGGGAGATGCAGAAGAGGCGCTGGGCTCCTGACTTTGGATTGGCTCAGCTCCGGCCACTGTGGCCTCTAAGGGAGTAGATTAGTAGAATATCTCTCTGTCTCTCCTCTCTGAAAATCTGACTTTCCAATAAAACTAAGCAAATCCTTAATAAAAATTATAATATACTCATGTAATAACTTATCTATATCTATATTCATTTTCCCTTAATAAGCTTTTCAGAACATAATTGCTGTCCCTACACTTTGGACAAAGGGACACCTTATTTAACCTCATTTTCGATTTGAAAAAGGCAAAAGCAGGAAAGGACAGATAAATATCCATTATCACTGACACCATACCTGCTTCCTTTTTCTGTTTCTAGAATGTTTATGCAAATTAAGTGAAGTACAGGGGAAAAACATTCAGTACTCTTTCTGTGCCCATATTTTTTTTGACATGTCATGCCAATTAAAATGGACAGAAAACATTTCAATGTATTATAATGATTATATTTTTCAAACCAGTTAATTTTTTTAAATTATTCATACTTTACGTCCTAGGAAGAAGAGGCTTTAGAATAGGGACTGCAGGAAATGAAGATTAGTGTAACTAAAAAGCCACCAAATCTATACTGGACATCTTACACAACTGGTTAGCTCTTGGAGGCCACAGACTTCAGCGAAAAAAAGCAATCCCTGCTAGTCTAAGAAGCAAAAAGCAGGGGATAACAGTGAGGGCCAATTTCCAATACTCAAGCTTTCCTAAGAGCATCTTCTCTTTGGTAATAGCCAACCTGAAATACATTAGAAGAAATAAAGCATACTATTTCTTAAGGGAAAAAAACAAGAGTTTAACTTTTCAAATTCTCAAGCAAATGATTTGATTTATATAGAATAATGTCTTGATTTTCCATTTATACTAGATAAGGTGGGTAAACAGTATATAAATAATGCATTGTGAAAGCTTTCTTCATAGAAAAAAACCTTCCAGGTACCTACCCAATTTCTAAGTGAGGCTTGGTGGAACATAAGGAAGTGTACTTTCACACTAGATATTTCTATACTGCCTTCAACCTGCTTCTGCAGGCATTACTGCGGTGAATTTTTTTTTTGCAAATAAAAAATCTGGGATGAAACTGTCATAGGACAACTTGAAAAGATAAATCTGTTTTGTAAGTACAACTTACCAAATCTAGGTTCATATATCTCTTTTCTAGCATTACCTTTATAACTAATTTTTATAACTCACTGAATAAGATTGATACAGGATTCAGAATATCTGAACACAGCTCACAAAATAAATTAGTGTATGTATAAAAGTTAATGCTTCAATAATATGTAACATAAGCGTACTATGATATTACATAAATGTTTCTATATAACTGTGCTATCCCATCACTTTTGTTTTCTGTTCTTGTTTTGGTGTATTTTTTCATTTCTGCCTAAACAACATATCTTAAAAGGCTAGAACTGCCTTCTTTTTAAAAAATTGAGAGCTGTGTATATTTAAGGTACAAAAAATGCTTAATACACACACACAACACTACACACTGATTAGTAGGATCAACCTAATTAATTTTCAGTTTTTATTATAATTAGCATTTAGAAGGAAAATTGTCTTCCCTATGGTACTCTGACACCTGCTGGGTTTTTCCAGTAATTTGTATCCAACTAATGAATAAACCACTCAATGTTCTCCAGTTGAGCTGTTCCGGAACAAGCAAGCGTCCTCCTGTGGACATTTGGGGGATGAATCTGTGAATGGAAGACCCCTGGTCTCTGTCTCTCCTCTTTCTGTAAAGTTTGCCTTTTAAATAAAAATAAATACCTTCTTTAAGAAAGCTACCTTCCTGAAATGATTTAAGTCACCAGTATTCCTTAATACTTGAAAATATCACTGGGGTTTATCCTAAAAAATAATTTTCATAAAATATAGATTTTTATTAAAATGTCATAAAATCAAATTTCCTACTTCATCTCAAAATTTTTCAAATTTCAAATAAATCTCAAATTTCAAAAAACATATCTTCTTATGAGGACAGTAGAACACCAACAGATTCAAAAAGTAAACTGGCATTCTAGTAAAAGCACATGGAGTTCAAGCACTGTGGCACAGCAGGAAAAGATGCCACTTGCAAGTCATTATTCTATACCCATGCTGGTTCCTATTTTGGTTACTTCCTGGAATCCCGCTTCCTGCTAATGGCTTATGAAAGGCCACACAGCATGGCCCCTGCCATCTTTGTGAGAAGCCTGGAGCAACCTTGGCCACCATGGCTAGCTGGGGAGTGACCCAGTGGATCTCTCTCTCTCTCTCACTCTTTCAAAGAAATAAAAATTTAATAAAGAAAAAAGCTGAAAATTAAAAGAAAACCAAAATTTAGACTTTCTAAAGTAGTCAGATCATCTTATTGTTATATTACTGCTATTGTTTCTTTTTTGGTAGTCAGTTTTTTAATGAAACTGTAATGATTTCCTTCATAATCAGAAAAAAATTCTCCATGTTTTAATAATTAAATTGTAGTTACTGAAAATTATCTTTGTTCTTATTGTTTATTATTACTACTCATAATAAGGTTCCAAAGGCACAGTTTTCCCCCATACTATTACAATACTATAGTCCTTCAGCAACAGTCACAAGTCCAACATTATGTTATTTAAATCTATCATGGAACTATAGGTATAGACAATGGTAGCCAGCCTAGCATCCTATTTTCAAGGTACTTAACAATTTCATTGGGAGTCCTCCTTTTTGTCGGAAGTGGAGATGTATACTGCAAGTATCTTTACTTCCCGGTATGGTAATCTCCATTATACATATACACATACTCTCGTGGATGAACTGTATAATACACACTAGCATCTTACTACTTAATATCTCTTTAAAAGTAGCTTTCAAGAAGATTGTAAACATATTAAGCCAGCTAATGTCTACTATTTATCTGATGAACCTGGTAATAAGTTGAAAAGAAACATCTATAAAGTTCATACACTGTCCTGGCCACGGAAGCCACTTGAGGACTAAACTATAAG